GTCTAGCCGTTTTAAGGACGCTTTATCACCTGGGCGTAAGATATTTGACGCTAACGCACAGGTGTAACACACCGTGGGCGAAAAGCTCCTCCGCAGAGGAGGACGACGAGGACGGTGAGTTAAAGAATTTCACAAGGAGGGTAAAACAAAACAACAAAAAAATAAAAAAAAAAGAAAGAGAGAACAATTTTCATCCCTTCAAATCCTTCCCTAGTTCTTTCGATTTTAAATTTATCATCGGTCCGAATCGGCTCGACGATCGGTAATAATAGTATAGATAAAATGCAACGAATAAAACGAGACAAATTGATGAATTACATTTGAAATTTCGCGTGAATTCCCGGAAATTCGATTCGAAGCGATAAAATATGTTGAGGTGTAACGGCGCGGACGACGGGGGAGGGCCAATGGGAAATGCTTCGGATATGGACTAACGCGATTTAAAAAATATTAATCACTCTTCGTCCATAATCTCTCATGCGCAATCGATCGATACCATCGGGAAATCCTCTCACGTGAATTTGCGAATACGATTTGTGGGGAAAAAAGGAGAGAGAGAGAATGAGCGAGAGAGAGAGAGAGAGAGAGAGAGAGAGAGAGAGAGAGAGAAACAGAGGAGAATATGGTTCTCGTAATCAGTCCCCTGTATCGTCGTTAATATCGAATCAAGAGGAGTAACGAAGAGGAGGATACCTATCGCGAGGTTATATCGAGCTTGGTACACTCGGAAGAGCATACCCATTGTCATACTCGAAGTGTTGACCACGTAAACTATCCTTCAACGAACTAAACAGATGGTAATCTGAGGGTGCAAGATCCTTCGGGCTATAAACAGGATGGAGGAGAATAGTCCATCCCCTGGCTGCGGTTGCCTCCTCAAGTGCCCGTAAGCAACGCGAATATATGGTTTTATGGCAGTGTTACACAATGTCTGGTTAAATGTTGGCAAAGTGTGCTACACCTTCTCCTAAGACTCCATCTTCCTGTTCTCATAAAGAAAAGATATATTTTGGTCTTTGTGCTTGTTTATGAACTTTTATATAAATTTATTCACGAAATTGACTTCTCTTTTCTCTCCCTCTCTCTCTCTCTCTCTCTCTCTCCCTCTCTCATTCTCTTTTTGTTTCTCTTTGAGCGCGAGCACCTTATTCTTTATTAACCTACTCCTTTTACTCTCCTTCGCAGGAGGAGGTCTAACGGCGTTCGGCAAGACTGTGGTGCGAGAGATGAATAGACTAGGCATGCTGATAGACCTCAGCCACACGGCCAGAGCAACAATGAGGGATGCCCTGAAAGCGACCAAAGCACCTCTGATCTTTTCACATTCCTCGGCTTTCGCCATTTGTAATTCCTCGAGAAACGTGCCCGATGACATTTTAAAACAGCTGGTAGGTCGACGAATATCGAGAAAATGTTATGTCTCCTTTCTCGTTAGCTCTCAGCGTGTTTTATTTTACTGTCTCTATGTATAATACTTTTGCCTTTTTAATTTACACCTTGAAAAAATAATTATTCTCACTTTTAAAGTTACTTTCCTTCGATCCTCATCGTTTCTCTCTCTCTCTCTCTCTCGGGGATAGATAATTATCTTTGCTCCTCGGCATCCAGAGTTCCAATGGTTTGAAACAATTACCGACGACGATTCCTTTCTATTGTCGAGTTTTCTGCTCCATTAAAGTAAGAATCCTCTCCCAGCCGACCTCGTTAAGAAGCAAATTAACAGGGACCAAAATTAACGGCTCCATCCACTTGAAACACGGTATAATGGTAACGGCGGACAACAAACCGCTCTCTTCTACTTGTAGCGACCATCGCAGCTGATAATTTTGCTATCTTTTATATTGTTTCGTCCATTAAAATCAGATTATTTCCTTTTGACTTATCTTTACGATCTTAAAAAGAATAGTAAAGAACAACGTATGCATTTGTTTCGTCTAGGCTGACAACGACGGATTGGTGATGGTGACCTTTTATAATTATTTCGTCAAGTGTGGTTCTCAGGCGACTATCTCGGACGTGGCAGAGCATATTTATTACATTAGAAATCTTATCGGCGTCGATCATATCGGAGTAGGTGGAGATTTTGATGGTATCAACAAGTACGTCGATGTAATATCTTCGAAATAATAATGAAACAAAAGTAATGATCTTTTTCTTTTTTTGTTTCTTTTTTTTGGTCTTTAATTTGATCGTTCAATCGTTAGAACTCCAAGAGGTCTTGAGGACGTTTCCAAATATCCCGAATTGTTTGCGGAACTTCTTCGTAGCGGCAAATGGAACGTGCACGATCTGAAGAAGGTGGCCGGTTTAAATTTATTGAGAGTCTTCAGAAAGGTAATATCATTCGGGTATCTATAGTTTATAAACTAGACATAAATATTGATTTGAAATTATTATTACCGTAGGTGGAACGCGTGAGGGACGATATGAAAACGGACGGTGTTACACCGTCCGAAGAATATCTTCAGAATTCTCCAGATGTCAGCGGGAATTGCGCCTTGGACACTAATACCGTGCAAAGAGGCGTAGAAGTCTAAGTCTTACTCCTGGCAATCTCTCATTCGTTACTCTTGATCATTTTCAAGATGACGAGGAGGGACAGTGGTAAAGGACCGATCGAGGTCAACGAGGGCGAACCAAAGAAAAAGAGACAGCATGCAGCTTCCTTTCTATGACCTGCTCACTTTCAAAGCCTTTACTTTCTTGATCCGAGCCATGGAAAAAATGGCTCGTGAAGAATCCCATCGTGTCGTTAACCTACCTCGGAACTCGTTCTTACGGAAGTGATGAGCAACGAGCCAAAAGAGAAAGAAAGTATATTGAGATAAGTTATTTTACATATATTTTTTTTCTCCATACTGTTCTTGCATTCACTTTTAGATTTTTCAGACAGATCTTCCTCTTTTCTGAATTCTTTTTCATAGTTCCTTTTACAAACATACACACACACATACACACACACAATTCAATCATATTTATTTTCTATACAATACAGACAGTGAGCATCATAATTGATCGATACAAATTTTTGCATCGTTGCTATTACTTCCGTCGTTTCTACTCTATAAATAAAGATAAAGCGATTGCTATTGCTACAGATTATCAATCGTATGCACGTAAAAAAAAAAAATAATCTTCTACTGTCAAAAGAACTCTTAGTCGATGGATACTTGTCTCTCTATAAAATCAGCACATTCATGTAAAAAACGATTATCAAACGAACCTGATAATTGAAAAGGAAAGAAAGATTCGCGAAGGAAAGAGAAGATGTCGATATAAAAAAGTGTCGTTTCAAAATTATACTACTTAAGTCTTTCGAGGAAAATATCAGAGTTATGTGTAAACCTAACTATACATTTTCCAACAAAATTTCTTCCTTCATTGCACTAAACGTAAAAAGCACGTGCACATTCAGGTCAGATCGTTCGGCTAAAATTCTAATGTGAAAAATTGGAGATAATATTTACAGGATTAGAAAGAACAAAGGGATTCAAGACTTAAAGAGTATATAATAGTAATCATTAAAGTCAATTCAAAACATGCTTTCCTTCGAGATTAATTTTTTATCCAAGTTGGCTAAGCATTATTTACTAAAATTAATGAGAACTATATATTCTTCAAAGCTTGAAACCTTTTTTGTGATGAAAATATAATGGCTCTGTCTCGTGAATTCTTCTAATGAAAGAAAATTGAAATAAGACCATTATTTTTCATCTCGCTACATTAAAATAAAAGGAGAAACGCATATAAAATGCGCACGTGTTTCCTAAAGCACCGGACATAAGACTACTTTACTTGTAATCTTAAATCTTCCATCCTATACCTATCTGTGTCTCGTGTGCATTTATATTATAATCCGTGCAAGAAATGTAGTTTCCAATGCACATGTGAAACAACGAGAGTAAGAGGGGGAAAGAGAAAGGGAGAGAGAAAGAACGAAAATATGTAAAGGTCTAGACGCACTAGCGCGAAGCGCAGAACGTGAAAAGCATCGCAAAAGAATTTATTCTCGATTACATAACTATTTTTGTATGCACGTAAAAGTCTAAAGAAATTCCTAAAGATTGATGCGTCAATTAAAAATAAATTTTACAGTCGATATCAACTTGTATTCCTAATTAAACGTTAAAGTAATCTATTTAAGATAAAAGAAATTTGATGAAAAAAGAATTGAATACCTGATGGTTAAAAAAAAAAAAGGAAGAAATGATTTTAGTACAATAAAAATTAAACTTGAACTCGTAGAATCGTAATCGTTGCTGCAGCATCGTTCTTATTGCTTCGTTTCGTTTCGTTTCGTTTCTCTTTTCTTAGCGCCAATGCGTTTTTAGACCTCGTCGACCAAACTGAATCGAAAAAACAGGTGCACGGATTATATCTATTCCCCGTGTATATGTAATATGGGATGAATCAAACGAAGATAACAAAGCGAAAAAAAAGGAAAAACAAACAAACAAAAATATCAGATATTCCGTCGTGTCTTTGCAACGGATTCTACAAATAAATGTTTCTATTGTAAACCTATCGACAAAACTATTTTCTATCCCGCAATTACTTTTATTGCAGTTTATGGTACATTATTCATTCATATGCGTTCGAGCAAGAATGTGAGTAAACGAAATACGTAAATGTCAAATAGACCAAAGAAAGGAACTGACATTTCAATATGTCATATAGATAATCATTTATAATAAGTTTACGTGACATTTTTTATTTCAGCATGTTATATAGATCATTTATATTAACCAAGTCGCTTCCTTACTTAATATGTACGAAAATATCGACACATAATCTTATTATATATATATTGATTGAATCTACGTGCCACCTTTAACGAAACTAATAGGAAATACTTTCGCTGTCTTGCATGCCAATGAACACCAAGAAAACGTGCCTTGAATTAAAATTGTCATACATGAATACAATAATAACCCCACCCTTCAAGATCCTTGAAGTGTTTCTATCTATATATACTAATAGAACGCAATCAAAAAAAGGTTTAGTTGATCTGGTGCCTTATTTGAGAATAGAGTGTTACTTCGTATAAACCAATATTTTATTTATCCGTTCATACAACGGACGTAAAGTCTTCAAAGCTTGATAAGTCGATTTTTAAAATCGATCGATGACACAAAGGAAAATCAAAAAAAAACTCCAAAGGAAGATAAAGGAAGAATCCATAAATAAGATGAACATTTATTTGTTTCTTCTTTTATTTGAATTTTAATTTTTTGTTTCGAATAAATACATTCTAATAAGTTCCACCATCGTCAAATCAACGTGCACTCGTTCTTACGGTGGGATATTTTATTTGTGCATCGATAGCACGGAGTCCATATACTTAAGTTTTGACGAAGCAATTAATGTAAATATTTGGTATATATAAATTATTGATAAAACGAAGCCTAATATATGTACCGAAAAAAAATAATAAGTTCATAAATCTTTTCTTTTGCATAAATTTTGGAATTATACATAACAATATACAAAGAACAATCGATTTATGAATCTAGAAATGATTTGACGACTCTCTTATTTTTCTCTTGGATATTTATCATTTTTTTCGAAGAGATCATAAACATTACGAATTATTGGCAGTGCAGGTGGTCTATCGACGACTGAGTCAGATTTTTACAAGTCGAATATAGTTTATCAGGAGATATATCACGCAAGAGCAAACTCCATAATGTTACCATCCGATTTGTGGATCTGTCTCGCTTACATCTATCTTCCCTCGCGTAATAATATATATCTTAAGAAAAACTATATTTAACTTATAAAAATTTCACATAGCCTCGATGGAGCAAAGTCCCTATTATATAATTGATAGTGTTTATTATTTCTTTAAAGTAAATGATAAATTCCCAAGAGAAAAATGAGAAATCGTTTCTGTATTACCATAAATCGAATGAAGATACTTCTCATTGTTGAGATTTCCAACGTTACAACGAAGAAAAGAAATAATCTTAATATTCTTCTTTATCGAAACATACATTGCGCTTTACCTTATAAATAATTTGAAACTAGTAAATACTTACTAAACACTTTGTTGAAACGCATGTGGACTCTCGTATCGCCGATGCTCAATGAATATAAAACATTCTGTCGTAAGAGAAAATATATGTGTTAGTCTGACGATGATGAAACTTATCAAGGTTCATTCTTGAAAAAAAAAGTTATAGATATTTTATTATGGAATATGAATTTTTAAATAGATATTTACTTGATAATAAATCTCTAGTTGCCTTTAGGATCGTTTAGAATTATAGAAAATATTCAAGTAATCCTATCTCGTTTTAATAAAGGACCAAATTAAAAAATGCCTTTCATTCCAGCATCACAAACGCTCGTCGAATAGTGGAAAAACTCGCCATGCTCTTAAGTAATACACAAATCGTAAGTAATTGTTCGTTTTTATACATAGTGCAAAAAAAGAGAGAAAAAGAGAGTAATAAGTTTATCTCGTTGCTTGATATAACGTTTGAAACGGTAACAGTGGGAACTAGCAACATCTAACTCATGGATCTATGTCGTTGTGTTGATCTTCCTTTACGTTATATATATTCTGAGAAACTACATTCGACTCGTTAAAATCACACTTTGTCTCGATGGACCACCGGCATTGCCGCTAATTGGTAATATCCATTATTACTTTAAACCCAATGGTAAGTTTCAAGAAAAAAAAATATTGAAAACGAAAAATGATTTCGTTTCATACTAATTCTGTGCTTTTTCTTTTCTTAGTTATGAACGAAATGAAAAAATATTCAACATATAATATAATCAGATTTTGGGTATCTTTTATACCGTATCTAGCGATCATTCAACCTGAAGACATTCAAATAATACTCAGTAGCTCGAAACACACACGTAAGCCTTTTGTTTATTCTCTGTTTAAGAATGTCATTGGAAAAGGTTTAACAATAAACGATGGTGAAGTCTCTAAATTGCATCGGAATATCATTCAAAAGGCATTCAACGTTCATGGACTCGAAAAGTTCACTGATATCTTTGTCGAGCACGCCGAATATTTGACATCAATATTACGTGATATTGTTAATCAAGATATGAATATCACTAAATTGATCAATGACGTCATCTATAATATACAGGCCGAAACTGTCCTAGGATTAAAATTGATTAAGGAGAACAAAAAGAATAATGAAACGCACGAACTGCCATTCAAAGTGTAAGTTTTATATATTAATTAATTCTGTTTAACATAATCAACCAACTATTTCTGATACCTCAGGAACGAAATGTTCGCATCTTATCGTTTCAAGAGACCGTGGCTATTATTCGAGTCATTATATAAATTGACTGAGAAGTCGCAAATTGATAAGCAACAATTAGATAATAATATTGCCTATTGTTACGATATTATTAAAAAGATAGAAAAATCTAAGCGTCTAAATTCTTACGATATGACAAATGATGAAACGCAAACGGAAAACGGAAGGATATCTCTGTTGGAGTTCATGGTCAACATGAAACAAAAGTATTCATATTTCAATGACGAAGCCATCTTAAACGAATGTAGTACATTTATGCTGGCTGGTTTGGAATCCGTCAGCACGGCAACGGCATGCATGCTCTTTCTATTGGCAAATCATCCCGAATGCCAGAAAAAATGTGTTAACGAGTTGGATGAAATTTACAACAATAACGCTACTTTAACGTCGTTTAAGTCTTTGAAAGAGATGAAATATTTAGAGATGTGTATAAAAGAGACGCTCAGGCTTTATCCCGCCATACCGGTAATAGCCAGATGCCTCACTGAAGATATAAAAATAGGTATTAAGATTTCTTTATAAATCATCATTAAAACCATCATCTTCGGATCCTTTTTTTTTCTTTTTCTTTTAGGCGGCCGAATAATACCAAGCGGTACTTCCGTTTTGATCTCACCTTATCTTACGCACCGAATACCACGATATTATTTAGATCCAGAATCCTTTAAACCAGAACGTTTTGATCCACAAAACTCTAACGAAAAATTGCATCCATATGCTTATATTCCTTTTAGTGCCGGTCCTAAGAATTGTATCGGTAAGATATAATGATTGTCACTACATTTATCAACAATTTTCATTATAAATTATCTATCTTTCCACAGGATACAAATTTGCGATATTAGAAATGAAAGTGCTCGTTAGTTCAATTCTTCGAAATTTTGTATTGGAACCCATTGCGAACAAAAATAAGATATATGTCAAATATAGAATGACTTTACGAGCGCAAGGTGGTCTGTGGATCAAATTCAGATTACGAAAGACAATGTAATATAAAAAAATGTTTATGAAGGAAAACATACTGACAATGTATAATTAATAAATAATCATTCATTATATAATTAACAAATATTTATTCACTCATATTTTATATTCGACGTATTGTTTATAATATATAATATAAATATATCATAGTAGATATGCATATAAATATAATTTCTTTTAATATGCATCTATTCCTAGGAAATAAATAATCCTGTAAAAGGATCCTATATTTGGACAAATAGATTAAAGCAAAAAACGATTAGAATTATATGAATGGTAACAATAATACAGATACAAATAGAAAGTATATAGATGAAAATAAATAAATGGAGCACTTATTGCGCACAATTGTAGAAAACTTTTTATTCTCTCGATATAGCGGAAAGTGTTTATAAATATTCTATGATAACGTTGATAACGTTATATCAATAATCTTTTATAATATGTACTTTAATCTTTTCTAAATAAATTTCTAAGAGGTAGATCGTCGCCGTTTCTATGAATTAATATGCATGAAAAATGCTAGATGGCAATATGAGTACATTCAGGATCGTATATATATATAAGGGTTTATAAAGGGCACCATAAATATTATTTTTAATACGTCACTTTGACCATTTTTATCAAACGAATTAAATTGTGATAATTAAAATACACAATATTATCAGATCACGCAAGAAAATTATAATAATTTAAGAATAGAAACGGTGAATTTATATTCTATGAAAATTTATTAATGTGATCGTATAAACATGGTTTATATATCGAGTGGTAATAATTATAACCTCCAATTTTCAATATTGTTTCCAATTAGAGTTTTATCAAATGACGATATATATTTTCAGATGGCAAAATTCATAACTCAGTACCATGGGGCTTAAAAAAAGTTGCGAATTTCTTTTCATCGATAATATACTTAGTAATAATGTTGTAAGTATTTAGTAATACAAAATTGTTCAAAATTATTCATGATGCATCATCTTTAATCATGCATGGTTCTTTCATCAGCTTCAAGACATTATTTGGTATGGATATAGATAAAAATGATGGTAAAAATTCAAAAGATTATAGACCTGGCTTTGGGTAAGAATAATATTTGTAATTAATTACGAGTTACTTAAGCAAGATTATAATTATTTTTATTCTTCAGTCCACCTAAACCTCCAAGTCGTAAACTGGGTAGACCTAGCAATATCAATCATAACGTCAACATTCCCTTTGGAGGTTGCAGCAGTTGTCAGGGTTGAATTTAATGTGAGTAAATAAGATAATGGATAATCTATTTCCATCAAAGAATTTTTATCGAATCAATATGTTTATTTAAATATTAAAGCTCAGAAATATAATGAATAATTTGTAACATATGCTTCTGTTGTATTTAAAATATTACAAATGAAACACAAAGATATTATATGTTATGTAATAACAATAAAAATTGAAACTTTTGTGTAAAATTATAGTATTAAGATTTATACATCTTTTATACATTACAAAAGAAATAATAATATAACTTTTTGGCCAGAATTTTTATTATATTAAATATAGGATTTCATCCTACGCGTAGATGCTGCACCAAGGAACTAAGCTGATTAATAATCATTTAATTTTGGTAATCAGCCCGGCTGCAATCGTTGTACCTTCCACTCTTAACATTATCCTACCAAGCTGTTTAACGTCTTTATATAGTTCCATGCAAACTGGAGTTTGCGTTACGATTTCAATAATCGCACTAGAGTTTTTAGGTAAACAGCGCGGCTTCTTTTTTATCACATCTCCAGTGCTTTTATGAAGCTGTGCTATCAATTTAGATATAATAGCTGGTTGTACCAAAGATTGCTGATGCATTATTACTGGGAAGCCCTTTGTAATAGGCACAACAATAGAGAATATGACTACATGTGCCCGAAAACATGTTGTTACCGGTACGGGATTTTGTGGATTGCAAATGACATCACCAATCCCAACATTTTGTTGGTCAATGCCTGATAATGTCAATGAAACATGATCACCGGCAAAGGCATTTACTATAGATACATCGTCTGCTTGTAAACCTAAAGAAATTAATGATGAAAATTATTTCTATCGTATTTTTGAATGAAATAATTGATTATTTTTAAAGAAATAATTAAAAAGTATGTAATAGTAATCATTAATGTCAATTCAAAACAAGCTTTCCTTCAAGATTAATTTTTTATCCATCGTGGCTAAGCATTTTTTACTAAAATTAAAAAAACTATACATTCTTCAAAGCTTGAAACCTTTTTTGTAAATGTAATGGCTCTATCCCGCGGATTCATCTAATGAAATAAAATCGAAATAAGACCATTATCTTTAATCTCGCCGCATTAAAACAAAAGAAAAAATGCACACGTGTATCCTAAAACACCGGACATAAGACTACTTCATTTGTAATCTTGAATCTTCCGTTCTATACATGTCCATGTCTCGTTTGCATTTATATTATAATCCGTGCAAGAAATGTAGTTTCCAATGCACATGTGAAACAACGGGAGAGAGAGAGAGTAAGAGAAAAGGGGAGAGAAAATGAATAAATGTAAAGTTTTAAACGCACTAGCGCAAAGTGCAGAATGTGAAAAGTATAAAAAAAAATTTATTCTCGATTACATAACTATTTTTGTATGCACGTAAAAGTCTAAAGAAATTCCTAAAGATTGATGCGTCAATTTAAGATAAATTTTACAGTTAATTCCTAATTAAACGTTAAAGTAATCTATTTGAGATAAAGGAAATTTGATGAAAAAAGAATTGAATACCTGATGGTTAAAAAAAAAAGGAAGAAATGATTTTAGTGCAATAAAAATTAAACTTGAACTTGTAGAATCATAATCGTTGCTGCAGCATCGTTCTTATTGCTTCGTTGCGTTTCGTTTCGTTTCTCTTTTCTTAGCGCCAATGCGTTTTTAGATTTCGTCGACCAAATTGAATCGAAAAAACAGAAGCACGAATTATATCTATTCTTCGTGTATATCTTCGTGTAATATGGGATAAATCAAACGAAGATAACAGAGCGAAAAAGAAGAGAAAACAAACAAACAAAAATATTCCGTCCTGTTTTTGCAACAGATTACAAATAAATGGTCCTATTGTAAATATATCGACAAAACTATTTTCCATCCCACAATTACTTTTATTGCAGTTTATGATGCATTATTCATTCATATGCGTTCGAGCAAGAATGTGAGTGAACGAAATATGTGAATGTCAAATATGTCATATAGATAATCATTTATAATAAGTTTACGTGACATTTTTTATTTTAGCATGTTATATAGATTATTTATATTAATCAAGTCGCTTCCTTACTTAATATGTACGAAAATATCGACACATAATCTTATTATATATATATATTGATTGCATCTCTGTACCACCTTTAACGAAATTAATAGGGAAAACTTTTGGTATCATGCATACTAATGAACAACAAGAAAACGTAGCTTGAATTAAAATTGTTATACATGAATACAATAATAACCCCACTCCTTCAAGATCCTCGAAGTGTTTCTATCTATATATACTAACAGAACGCAATCAAAAAAAAGGTTTAGTCAGTCTGGTACCTTCTTTAAGAATAGTGTGTTACTTCGTATAAGCCAATATTTTATTTATCCGTTCTTACAACGGACGTGAAGTCTTCAAAGCTGGATTAGTCTATTTTTAATCGTAATGATTATAAAATCGATCGGACACAAAGGAAAATAAAAAAAAAAACTCCAAAGAAAGATAAAGGAAGAATCCATAAATAAGATGAACATTTATTAATTTCTTCTTTTATTTGAATTTTAATTTTTTGTTTCGAATAAATACATTCTAATAAGTTCCACCATCGTCAAATCAACGTGCACTCGTTCTTACGGTGGGATATTTTATTTGTGCATCGATAGCACGGAGTCCATATACTTAAGTTTTGACGAAGCAATTAATGTAAATATTTGGTATATATAAATTATTGATAAAACGAAGCCTAATATATGTTCCGAAAAAAAATAATAAGTTCATAAATCTTTTCTTTTGCATAAATTTTGGAATTATACATAACAATATACAAAGAACAATCGATTTATGAATCTAGAAATGATTTGGCGACTCTCTTATTTTTCTCTTGGATATTTATCATTTTTTTCGAAGAGATCATAAACATTACGAATTATTGGCAGTGCAGGTGGTCTATCGACGACTGAGTCAGGTTTTTACAAGTCGAATATAGTTTATCAGGAGATATATCACGCAAGAGCAAACTCCATAATGTTACCATCCGATTTGTGGATCTGTCTCGCTTACATCTATCTTCCCTCGCGTAATAATATATATCTTAAGAAAAACTATATTTAACTTATAAAAATTTCACATAGCCTCGATGGAGCAAAGTCCCTATTATATAATTGATAGTGTTTATTATTTCTTTTTGTTTATTATTCTTGTTTATTATTTCAAAGTAAATGATAAATTCCCAAGAGAAAAATGAGAAATTGTTTCTGTATTACCATAAATCGAATGAAGATACTTCTCATTGTTGACATTTCCAACGTTACAACGAAGAAAAGAAATAATCTTAATATTCTTCTTTATCGAAACATACATCGCGCTTTACCTTATAAATAATTTGAAACTAGTAAATACTTACTAAACACTTTGTTGAAACGGACTCTCGTATCGCCGATGCTCAATGAATATAAAACATTTTGTCGTAAGAGAAAATATATGCGTTAGTCTGAGTATATTGAAATTATTAAGGTTCATTCTTGAAAAAAAAGTTATAGATATTTTATTATGGAATATGAATTTTTAAATAAATATTTACTTGATAATAAATCTCTAGTTGCCTTTAGGATCGTTTAGAATTATAGAAAATATTCAAGTAATCCTATCTCGTTTTAATAAAGGACCAAATTAAAAAATGCCTTTCATTCCAGCATCACAAACGCTCGTCGAATAGTGGAAAAACTCGCCATGCTCTTAAGTAATACACAAATCGTAAGTAATTGTTCGTTTTTATATATAGTGCAAAAAAAGAGAGAAAAAGAGAGTAATAAGTTTATCTCGTTGCTTGATATAACGTTTGAAACGGTAACAGTGGGAACTAGCAACATCTAACTCATGGATCTATGTCGTTGTGTTGATCTTCCTTTACGTTATATATATTCTGAGAAACTACATTCGACTCGTTAAAATCACACTTTGTCTCGATGGACCACCGGCATTGCCGCTAATTGGTAATATCCATTATTACTTTAAACCCAATGGTAAGTTTCAAGAAAAAAAAATATTGAAAACGAAAAATGATTTCGTTTCATACTAATTCTGTGCTTTTTCTTTTCTTAGCTCTGAATGAAATGAAAAAATATTCTACGTATAATATAATCAGACTTTGGATTACTTTTATACCATATCTAGTGATCATTCAACCTGAAGACATTCAAATTATACTCAGTAGCTCGAAACACACACGTAAACCTTTTATTTATTCTCTATTTGGGAATTTTCTTGGAAAAGGTTTAATAATAAACGACGGTGAAGTCTCTAAAATGCATCGGAATATCATTCAAAAGGCTTTCAACGTTCATGGACTCGAAAAGTACACTGAAACCTTTGTCGAGCACGCCGAATATTTGACATCAATAATACGCGATATTGTTAATCAAGATATGAATATCACTAAATTGATCAATGACGTCATCTATAATATACAGGCCGAAACTGTCCTAGGATTAAAATTGATTAAAGAGAACAAAAAGAATAATGAAACGCACAAACTGCCATTCAAAGTGTAAGTTTTATATATTAATTAATTCTGTTTAACATAATCAACCAACTATTTCTGATACCTCAGGAACGAAATGTTCGCATCTTATCGTTTCAAGAGACCGTGGCTATTATTCGAGTCATTATATAAATTGACTGAGAAGTCGCAAATTGATAAGCAACAATTAGATAATAATATTGCCTATTGTTACGATATTATTAAAAAGATAGAAAAATCTAAGCGTCTAAATTCTTACGATATGACAAATGATGAAACGCAAACGGAAAACGGAAGGATATCTCTGTTGGAGTTCATGGTCAACATGAAACAAAAGTATTCATATTTCAATGACGAAGCCATCTTAAACGAATGTAGTACATTTATGCTGGCTGGTTTGGAATCCGTCAGCACGGCAACGGCATGCATGCTCTTTCTATTGGCAAATCATCCCGAATGCCAGAAAAAATGTGTTAACGAATTGAATGAAATTTACAACAATAACGCTACTTTAATGTCGTTTAAGTCTTTGAAAGAGATGAAATATTTGGAGATGTGTATAAAAGAGACGCTCAGACTTTATCCCGTCGTACCGGTAATAGCCAGATGCCTCACTGAAGATATAAAAATAGGTATTAAGATTTCTTTATAAATCATCATTAAAACCATCATCTTCGGATCCTTTTTTTTTCTTTTTCTTTTAGGCGGCCGAATAATACCAAGCGGTACTTCCGTTTTGATCTCACCTTATCTTACGCACCGAATACCACGATATTATTTAGATCCAGAATCCTTTAAACCAGAACGTTTTGATCCACAAAACTCTAACGAAAAATTGCATCCATATGCTTATATTCCTTTTAGTGCCGGTCCTAAGAATTGTATCGGTAAGAAATAATGATTGTCACTATATTTATCAACAATTTTCATTATAAATTATCTATCTTTCCACAGGATACAAATTTGCGATATTAGAAATGAAAGTGCTCGTTAGTTCAATTCTTCGAAATTTTGTATTGGAACCCATTGCGAACAAAAATAAAATATTTGTCAAATATAGAATGACTTTACGAGCGCAAGGTGGTCTGTGGATCAAATTCAGATTACGAAAGACAATGTAATATAAAAAAATGTTTATGAAGGAAAACATAATGACAATGTATAATTAATAAATAATCATTCATTATATAATTAACAAATATTTATTCACTCATATTTTATATTCGACGTATTGTTTATAATATATAATATAAATATATCATAGTAGATATGCATATAAATATAATTTCTTTTAATATGCATCTATTCCTAGGAAATAAATAATCCTGTAAAAGGATCCTATATTTGGACAAATAGATTAAAGCAAAAAACGATTAGAATTATATGAATGGTAACAATAATACAGATAAAAATAGAAAGTATATAGATGAAAATAAATAAATGGAGCACTTATTGCGCACAATTGTAGAAAACTTTTTATTCTCTCGATATAGCGGAAAGTGTTTATAAATATTCTATGATAACGTTGATAACGTTATATCAATAATCTTTTATAATATGTACTTTAATCTTTTCTAAATAAATTTCTAAGAGGTAGATCGTCGCAGTTTGTATGAATTAATACGCATAAAAAATGCTAGATGGCAATATGAGTACATTCAGGATCGTATATATATATAAGGGTTTATAAAGGGCACCATAAATATTATTTTTAATACGTCACTTTGACCATTTTTGTTAAACGAATTAAATTGTGATAATTAAAATACACAATATTACCAGATCACGCAAGAAAATTATAATAATTTAAGAATAGAAACGGTGAATTTATATTCTATGAAAATTTATTAATGTGATCGTATAAACATGGTTTATATATCGAGTGGTAATAATTATAACCTCCAATTTTCAATATTGTTTTCAATTAGAGTTTTATCAAATGACGATATATATTTTCAGATGGCAAAATTCATAACTCAGTACCATGGGGCTTAAAAAAAGTTGCGAATTTCTTTTCATCGATAATATACTTAGTAATAATGTTGTAAGTATTTAGTAATACAAAATTGTTCAAAATTATTCATGATGCATCATCTTTAATCATGCATGGTTCTTTCATCAGCTTCAAGACATTATTTGGTATGGATATAGATAAAAATGATGGTAAAAATTCAAAAGATTATAGACCTGGCTTTGGGTAAGAATAATATTTGTAATTAATTACGAGTTACTTAAGCAAGATTATAATTATTTTTATTCTTCAGTCCACCTAAACCTCCAAGTCGTAAACTGGGTAGACCCAGCAATATCAATCATAACGTCAACATTCCCTTTGGAGGTTGCAGCAGTTGTCAGGGTTGAATTTAATGTGAGTAAATAAGATAATGGATAATCTATTTCCATCAAAGAATTTTTATCGAATCAATATGTTTATTTAAATATTAAAGCTCAGAAATATAATGAATAATTTGTAACATATGCTTCTGTTGTATTTAAAATATTACAAATGAAACACAAAGATATTATATGTTACATAATAACAATAAAAATTGAAACTTTTGTGTAAAATTATAGTATTAAGATTTATACATCTTTTATACATTACAAAAGAAATAATAATATAACTTTTTGGCCAGAATTTTTATTATATTAAATACAGGATTTCATCCTACGCGTAGATGCTGCACCAAGGAACTAAGCTGATTAATAATCATTTAATTTTGGTAATCAGCCCGGCTGCAATCGTTGTACCTTCCACTCTTAACATTATCCTACCAAGCTGTTTAACGTCTTTATATAGTTCCATGCAAACTGGAGTTTGCGTTACGATTTCAATAATCGCACTAGAGTTTTTAGGTAAACAGCGCGGCTTCTTTTTTATCACATCTCCAGTGCTTTTATGAAGCTGTGCTATCAATTTAGATATAATAGCTGGCTGTACCAAAGATTGCTGATGCATTATTACTGGGAAGCCCTTTGTAATAGGCACAACAATAGAGAATATGACTACATGTGCCTGAAAACATGTTGTTACCGGTACGGGATTTTGTGGATTGCAAATGACATCACCAATCCCAACATTTTGTTGGTCAATGCCTGATAATGTCAATGAAACATGATCACCGGCAAAGGCATTTACTATAGATACATCGTCTGCTTGTAAACCTAAAGAAATTAATGATGAAAATTATTTCTATCGTATTTTTGAATGAAATAATTGATTATTTTTAAAGTAGTAATTCAAATGGGAAAACCTTTTACAAATGCAACTTCGTTTTGCGGCAACACCAAAACTTTATCCCCTATAGCTACCATGCCTGTTTCTACATGACCAGATACACAGAATCCAGACCCAGTACCTTTGTATATGTCATTTATAGAAAATCTAAATGGTTTATTAACTGGACGTTCTGGACACTTAAAATTATCGATAACATTTACTAATGTAGGTCCAGTATACCTGTGATATAATTTTTTCTGTCATTTTCCATAAACAGTCAAGATAATTATCATACAATTGTTATATATAAAATAATATTACCAATTGGAAAGACCTTCGGTTTTTGGTGCCGTGACTATATTTTCTCCTGAGAGTCCACTGCAAGGTACAAAAATGATGGTCTCTCTATAACCAGCTTGTTTTAAGAAAACACTCATTTTATTAACAATTTCGTTAAATCTTTCTTTTGACCAATTCACCGTATCCAATTTGTTAACTACAACAGCTAATTGAGACACTCCTAAAAATAGCAAAATTTTAATATAGTAATAATGATCCTTAGTAAGATAAAAAATTTGATCATAATTACCTAAAGAACGTAATAATAAAGCATGTTCTCTAGTTTGTCCACCACTATCAAATCCAGTCTCAAATTCACCTCTGGTAGCATCTACTACGAGTAAGGCAACATCCGCTTGAGTGGCACCGGTGATCATGTTTGGGATAAAATCCTTATGGCCAGGTGCATCCAAAAGAGTAATGCATTTATTGTCAGTTTCAAATTTAGAATGTCCAATATCCATCGTTATTCCACGTTCCCTAGAAAAAAAATATATATATATATATCGATAACAGATATTAATTACAATCTACTTTACTAGAAATACTTTATACGATTCTTCTCTACCTTTCTTCTCCTGTTTCGTCTAGCACCCATGCATAAGCAAAAGATTGTTTACCAATCTTTTTACTCTCTTGTTGATACTTGTGAATTAGTCTTGATGGAACTTGTCCTAAATCACACAAAAGTCGTCCAAGCAAGGTACTCTTTCCAGCGTCAACGTGCCCGACGACAACTAGGTGTAATTGTTCTTTATTGTTGCTTCTTCTATCTTTATAAATACGTAAAACATCACGTTTGTCCTCTATAGATTTCGTCTTATAATCTAAATCAGGTGTAACATGACCAGACATGGGAGATTGACTTCTTAAAGAATCAGTTTCTAAAGAAACTATACTCTTATCTTGTTTCACATTTTCTTTACGTTTTACATTTGGACTGTCTTGTTCAGAACATGGGCTTTGAGAGCGTGGAGTCTGAATATGTGGACTCAAATGACCTGTATTTTCTGATCCAGTCACAGTAAACCCTTTGACAATAGAACTTGTTCCAGCTGGCACAACTTTTACCATTGAAGGTGTACTTATTTGTAATGTTGATTTTGATGACAGTTTATTACCTATTATAATTAACTTTTTCAATTAATGCCTTTTTAAATATACCTAAGAAAATAAACAGTAGGCATATTAAACAAACAAATAAACAAACAAACAAACACACACACACACACACGCACACACATTTAAATATATTTATAAGATAAATTAAAAAAAATAATGAAATGATAATTTCTTTACTTAATTGATCATATATAAATTAAATAACAATAAAAATTACAAATTAATTTCTGCTATTATAAAGATACTCATACAAAAGAGCGCCAAAGTATAATAATATGTTATATCACAAAATATAAATAAATCTAACAATAAAATATTGATAAATATTGATATAAATAATAAACTTTCATGAAGTTTATAATGCTTTAAAAAACGATTTTTTTGATTATAATAATTTTGTACAATGTATATTAATGTTCATAGATTGTTCATCAGAATATGATTAGTCAAGTTTATGGACGAGTATAAGGAGTAGAAAAATCAAATCTTTTGATAGTTCTATATTCCTGTGTCTTACATTTAATAAAAGGTTTCTTTAATTTCCATTTTCTAGTTAAAATTTTTCCAAGAGTAGAAACAGTTTTCTTCGCGTATGGTAATCTAACATGTATTAAACTATTTAAATTTAAAGTACATTCTACACTCGTTTCAGAATCTGAATCATTAAATGAGTTATTTTTCATCTTGTTTATATATGACAGAGTATCATAATACAGATTTGTCATTGGTTCTATTTGGCAATTATGTTTTAAATCTGGTACATGAACTTCTTTTAATGCAGCACTTAAATCAATCAACCAATCATCAGGTGACGGTGTTCTAACACGTTCAACATTGTGCTCCATTAAATCTTCTAAATTTATTGACTTTTGTTCGTTAAATTCATTATTAGGATTATATTCTAGTTTAAGATTAGAAATTCCTTTTCTAAGTGAATCAATTTGTACTTTATCAGGATTAAATCGATCTTCGCTTTTGTTATTTATAATATTAACTGTACTATCTGTATTATTTTTACTATCAAATTTTGAAAAAATTATGTTATGTCCAAAATTCTCTTTATTTTTGTTAATATTCAATTTTGGTATGATGAAACCAGAATTTGGAGATTTTTTACAGAGTTCTATTTTATTAGTAGAAACATTAGACTTTTGTAAATGATTTGCAGTTAAATCAGCCAAAGAACCAAAATATTGTGGTTTGGAATCACTTTTTGAATTTGTATGACTAGCTATCATTTCAGCTAAAGATGAAAAATTATTTTCCGAGTTATTTATATGACTTTTAACCGAAACAGTATTATTTGTAGAGGCAGGTAATACGAGCTTTTGTGATAATGAAAACTTAGGTACGGCAAAGAAAGAAGTAGAACCTTACCTTACCAGCAAAGGAAAACGCAATGCATGAAACAAAAAGAAAATGACTGTCAGAAAAATAACGATCAATTAAATAAAAAAAACTTAAAGGAAGTTAGGTATATAACATGTACCTGGACAAGGATTCGGGCACTCCTTACTACTTCTAGATTGTTCTATAAACATATATATTTTCATTGACTAGTTTATCAGAATCTAAGTATAATTATTTGTTCAATAAAGTAACTATTACTAGAATACATACCGGTAATACTTTTCTGGGATGGTATTCTTAAAAGTTTATCTAGCACTACTTCTGTGTCAAACCTTGACTGGATAATTTCTTCTTCGAGTTTAGATTCAGCTATTGAATCTCCAATAACATTTTTTATAGCTTCCATGCAAGATAATAATTTCACTCTTTCTATCTCAGAAAGATCTGATTTTTTACTTGCAAGGGATGATACTGTATTATCATCCTCATTATCCTCAACGATATCTGGCTCCATAATAAAAGAAGCAATATTTTGTTGCTTGCTTCGATCAAACAAGAATTGTTCAGCTGTAATTAGAGTGCATGTTAGTCTCTGTGTCTATTTTGTAAGGAAAAAATAACATACCACTGGGCGATACGCAATAATCATCTTCCACTGAGTGTCCATATACATCGTCATAACCATCATACTCTAAATAGGAAAAAAAGGAAAAAAGAAAGGATAAAAAGAAATAATTTATTTTATACCTGCTTTTATTTCGAAATATTAGATCGAAATTAAATATATTTTTGTTTTCCTCTGGTAATAAAAATACATATGTTGCAATATTATAAAAAAAAAATGACGTACCATCGGAATAATTCATACATCGAACATCTCGATGACGGGACATTTTGTAATAATGTAATAAAAACTCGAATTAACGGACAAATCACTTTTCACTTAAATTTTTATTATGAATTACCAATTATTACGTACGATAGACTAGATCGTATAGAATTCGATATTCGTTAAAAGCACAGAATAAAGAAAACTTGTTGCAACATAATGAAAGGTTAAATTACGACAAATACGTTTCCAGATAGCGCTAGCAGTGCCATTTTGTATGCACTCTAACGGCACTTTATCTCGAATGCCTCCTCTTAGCGTTGATCCGATTCGTTCTAATCGAAAGATCGTAAGGACAAATAGCAAGTTTAATTTTTTGATCTTGCATACATTTGTTATATATACGTAACTTTTGAATTATTATAATTGAAACTGACATAAAAAATGATGAAATAAATGGTGAAGGCTGATTTTATTCAATTTCGATTAGGCTATACTTGTCTGTCATTACTTATTGTTTATTACTATCCAATCAGAATTCCCGGGATTGATTTACGATCTTTCAGATAAGAGCACAGATGCTTATTATATCTTAGAATTCATTTCCTCTTCTGCGCTTTAATATACTGTTGTTGTTTACACTGGTAACAACGGTAGAAGTTCAAACGAACAGAGGGATAAATTTATAAGAAACATTTCTCGTTGTCTCATTAGACACAACTTTTTTAATGAAATTTATTGAATATTTGAGTATTGAAGTCGTTCGTAGTCGACAAAGTACCATTACCGACATATAAGAATGAAATATTCTAATTTATGAGAATTTGTTATGTTTGTGTGAATTTTTACGAAATCGTGGATTCATTTGTATGATAAAGAAAGCAGAAAAAGTAATAAATATAATCTCCGTTAATATGAATTTTTCGGATTCTGGATTTCAAGAGCTCTGCAAGAAGACGGAACTGTCCAGTAATAAAAATAATATATCAGTGCAAGATGCTGATGAGAATATTGAAAAAGAAATGAAAACATATATGGAATTATCAGATGTGATTGAACTTTCAAGTGATTCAGGCGATGAAGACAGTACATACTATATGACTACTGTTTGGGATATTTCAGATATTGAAACTCGTTCACCTTCTGTGATAACTTCTTCACCACCATATAACGGAGAAGTTTCTGGTATGGTATCCGATAATATAGAGATATTAGAGGAAAATAATAATGATCCAAACAATAATTTAGATTTTAATGAAATTCCTCAAGAATCAAATGGTAATAGAAATATTGATGATATATCCAAGGATCGAATAGATTATTCAAGGGAATTGACAAGTCCAATTCCAGGTTGTAGTAAAGATATAAATAATGTAGAAAATCCTACAGAAAATAGCATTTATCATAAACTTTATAAAGATGCTACATTAATATCAACACTTTTGCCAGACATAGAATTTGGATTGATATTGGAAATGCTTAAAAAAAATCAATATGCAAAAAATTATTGTGAACTTGCTTTATGGGATTTATTGCCGGATAAGAGACCAATGCCACAAGTATTATTATCTAAAAGAAAATTAACGGATGATACATGCGAGGTCGAACAAAAAAGATATATGTCTAAGGAACTTGACATTGTACCTAATGAAGTGCGAACTAATATAGAAATGACTAAAGCATTGTGTACTGTATCATCGAAAGAAAAAGAAAATTTAAATATTAAAGAATCTATTAATTCTAAGACAGAGGAAAAAGAAACAATAAATGATACCGAAAGTAAGTCAATTTTTTCAATTAGTCATAGTTCGATAATACGCCCAGCAAAGTTAATAGTTCCTAAATGTGTACCTCCGTTGCAATCGTCATTTATACCAAGTACTAATAATGTGGTCTTAGCCCCTGCTAAATTAACATATGTTAGTAAATATGAAATGAAAGTTACGAGCAATGATAAATCTTTATCCCCTGTAAGGAACTTAATACCAACACAATCCACAAGTAAAATAAATGATAATATATCTCAGACAAATATTTTTCCTGATGTAAAGGAAACAAAAAATTGTTCGTTATTTGAGAGTGAAACGTGTTCAAAGTCTTTCAAAAATACTAATGAAATTAATCCAGATAATTCTTCAGATCAAGATACATCTTCTGTTATTTCTCCTATCATAAAAGACACAAGTGAAGACAGCAAAGTATTAATATCCAATCCTGATATTCCTGAACAATCTACAGAGTTTGTGCCTTCTACAGATAATGATTTGAATGTACCAAGTACTAGTAATGGAATAACAATGCCAAGGTGTGCTGACATTGCTATGTCAACATTAAATAAATTTCAAGAAAAATCATCATTAAACACATTAACAACAGCTAATGTAACAGATGAAACGTCAAATTTGGAATTAACAAAAATGGAAGAATCAAGTTTTTCTGAATCTTCTTCAATAACAGAAATACAAAATATAACAATAAAAGACTCAAAGCTTTCTCCTGAAATGACAAAAATTTATTATAAACTTTTATCTATATTTCCTGGAGTGAATTCTGATTACATTAAATCAATATGCACGTTCAATGATTCTCAAGAAATAAACTTGGATGAATCGACATTGCTCCATGAACTGATTGAACATTTACTTGTTTCAGGAGATAAGCATCCACGTGTAAATATAGAATCGGAAATAAATGAAGCGACATGTGATGCAAATGAACAATATGAAAATATGTTAGGAATATTTCCAGATGCAGATCCCGTTTATTTGAAAGATATTGTAAAAAATATGTACAACAAACCAGAGGAATTGAAAGCATTTGTACAATCTAAACTTGAAACTCATGATTATCCAACACGAGAACAATATTTAGCAAAAAGAAAAATAACTGAGCAACAAAAACAATATACTACAGACTTTAGAATAGACAAATTTTTGGAGATATATCCATGTCCATTTACTCATTTTGAAGATTCAAAAAGACAGTGTTCATTTAATTCAATTGCATTTGAGTTTCTCAAATATTATTATAACAAATTAAAGGTATATTTAATTATATAAAATAATATTAATGTTATGATTATTGCACTATGAATAACTTTTACTCACTTTCATATCTTTCATTTGTCTTTTAATATTTAAATATTTTCACAGACTTGTACTATATTGCTTGTATATGGACAAAATAAACACAATTTAACTTTAACAGCAAATACATTGGATAAAGTTAAACCTGAAATGAAAACAAAACGTAAAAGCCTATATTTACCACCAAAAGACATTCCTCTTTTACAGGAATTAACATTTATACAACATAGATCAGAGATACTAACATATTTAAAAAAATTACAACAGGAAGAAACTATGGAATTCCAGAGACTCAAAGTAAATATTTTTGTGATAATGTATTTTCTAGTATAAACACACTCTTAATAGTTTATATAATAATATCAATTGATAATTGTATAATAGAAGAGTAAGGGTCTTCTCCAATGCCAATGCTGTTTCGACGACGAATGTATGCCATCTAAATGTTCCAGTTGTGATAATGGTCATACATTTTGTAATACCTGTATTATAAAAGGTGCTGAACTGAAGTTAGGAGAAAGTGAAACACATATCCATTGCTTCGTAAATTGTACAAGTGAGTTTAGTCTATCAACACTTCAAAAGGTACTTTCTCCAACAACATTTAGTATACTACTTCGAAAAAGACAAGAAGCAGAAATAATGGCAGCCGGATTAGAAGGTTTGGTATCTTGTCCATTTTGCCATTTTGCATCTATACCACCACCGGAAGATAAAGTTTTTAAATGTTTTAATCCTGATTGCATGAAAGAATCTTGTAGGCAAGTATAGTGCTTCTATGATATTATTTAAAGTTTAAAAGCATATTATAGATTTTGATCTATTTATTTTTTATTTAGATTATGTAAACAATTAAATCATGTACCGCTGAATTGTGGTGAAGCTGAATCTGAAAAAGCACATCATTATTTAGAAGAAAAAATGACAGAGGCCCTTATACATAAATGTTACAAATGTAACCGACCTTTCTTTAAAGAAGAGGGGTGCAATAAAATGGTTTGTGTTTGTGGTGCTGAAATGTGTTATATTTGTGATAAACCAGTCAATGGTTACAAACATTTTCGTGGTCAAGGTTCCACGCAAACAGATCTGTAAATACCATTTGTATCATTGTAATGTTTACATAGTGAAACATATACATAAATAATTTTACATATTTTTAATTTTAGATGCCCATTATGGAGCGACAATCATGTAATAAATGCAAAAGCTGTTTTACAAATAGCACAAGAAACTGAAAGAGAAATAAGACAAAAAAATCCTAACATCAAACTAGTTACAAATGGTTTGTTACCAAAAATACCCCATCGGAGGAAAGGTCCTCATGATGATATTCCGAATTCTGATGTTGTACCTGTACGTTATACAAATTTTTAATTCATAACTGAAATGAATTTAATGAAAAAGTTTTTCTCTTTTTTATTTCTTCAGAAACATGCACATCGAATTGCAATTGCAAGAATGATTCCAGAAAATTTATGTGATTGAGATTTTTAAAAATTATTGTATGTATATTATTTTATATTTTATACTTGTATATTGTATACTTTTGGTACAACCAAAGATCCTTTAATCATAAATGAAATACTTTTCAATGATAGAAATTGATGAACTTATATATTGTTAAATATGTGTATAAAAAACAAGCATATAATATTCTTTATACAATTTGTTACTGATTTATTCCTCTAAACTTTCTATAAAATTAAAGTGTACGAATATAAATTTAACTCTCTATAATGCCATTAAACATACTTATATATATTATATGTATTTTGTAGATTTTATCTCATTTTATAGTAAAAAAATCAAAAAAATACATTGTCACTTCATATCCATAATTTTAAATATTTTTTATATATATGCTGTACTTAGTAAAAAGAATATAATTGTACTAGTACAAATAATATTTCCGTATTATATAATTTTTTCGTAGATACGAGAAAAATTGGTTTATAGAGGGTTAACTGTTAAAATGTTTTACAACTATAAAGTGTTTGACACAAGATTTATAACGATGTTATATGTTTATAATGTGAGTTGCAATTTATTTTAAAAACAAAGATATTTTTCTACAATCTAGTTATACTTATATTTATCTCTGATCAAATTTAGATACAAACATGTAAATGTTCAAAATTTGATAATGTCCGAATGCTTTTCAATGATTCACATGAGATATTATACTCCGATCCTTACGTCAATAAGACCTTCTCCTCCGTGATTTTTCATATCATTTTCTTTTATAATATCTTCGAACTTATGGATCGTATGAGAAGTAGGATTTCTTTGATTCCATGTACTCTGATCTTGTTCGGAATTATGAAAAGATTCTTTCCTTTGATCTTCCTTTTGATCTTTGTTTTGGTCTTTCGTTTCTGATACTATTATTAACTGGAAAAATTTATCGTCAAATTTGAAATTATTCAATTTTATAAAGTTATTTAACTAATGTGAAATAATTTTAATTTCACGTAAAACTGATATATAAAATTGATACTTTTACGCGACATACCATGTCACCTGTTTTTGGATTTCTACAGATCCATTCAGCAATAGCAAAAGATTCGTGGACATTAATATTTTGTTCTGAATAATATTGTTGAGGATTCCACTGGGAGAATCCATTTTGATGATACACGTTTCTAACAGGTCCCCTACGAAATGTTTGACCTCGTGGAACTGTCCACTGTGAATATTCGGATTGTCTCCAATTACCACTTGCTACACCCAGAACAATTAGCGTTACGAAGATAAAAGTTTGCATTTTCTATAAAAAAAAAAAAAATCAGTCAACCATTACAGAATTATTGAGTTTAATCATGAATTAAAAAAAAAGCACGCGTTACCCCAATATCCCAAATCGAAAGAAAGCATAGAGAAATAATTAATATATACTAAATAATATTTTCATCTTGATTTGGTCATTATCTAAACTTACTTGAAATAAATGTTAGATATTCGCAGACATGTACTATAATTCCAATACAAGGAGAGATACTTAATTTTCTTGTCTGCTTTTCGTGATTCCTCAAGAATGGTCAGTGAGCGACTGACAATGAGTATGAAAAAACTCTATGTCTACGTCAGAAATACATAATTTCAGCAGGTTTTGTCAAGGTCATTTAAAAATGATGGTTAATACATTTGATTTTTTTATTTATTTATCTTTTTTTTTTTTTAACGGAATAACAAAAGAATTTAAATAGTGTTTGCAATAATGAATTTTTTTACTGAATCGATGTTTCAAACGAAAAGAAAATATTAAAAAATCTTTTACATTTGTATGAATGAACTTTGTTCATATATACGATCGTCGAGTTTCCTTGCTTTAATTCGTAGAAGTATTAGCATAGGAAAGGTTAATAGAAATCTTCAAAGTTCCACATACATGTTTCACATACGTCTTCGCGAGACGATACTATCAAAATGAATTATTTAATATGAATTATTTTTAGAGGAACTACGTGCCGTGTGAAACAATTACAATGCTAAAAGAAAAGAACATATAATTTAAACGAAAAGAACTGTAACATTGATATCAAAACGAGTCTTCTTTGATTGGATACACTCCTATCGAAGATTGATTCATATACACATTTTCTCTATTTCTCGAAATTTTCGAAATTTTTGATTTCTATATAATTGATATATTCAGGTCGAAATTTCATTTAAATTTTCATCCCCGATCAAAATATTTTTGATCAAAATATTTAATATATTTTCAAGCTGATTCACCTATTACTCTCGCGACTATTAATATCATAGATATCATAAAAGTAGAAGATTATTGAAATACGAATTAAACTATGTAATATAATGTTCGATTTATTCCGTCTTTTTAGAATTTTCGTTCGACGGTTTTAAATTCTTGCTGTCATTTCGGCTGAAATAAAGTTCTTCCATTAAAAATGCCGCTGTTATAAAAATGGATACACCAGCAAATATAAACCACATTATTAATTCTAATGTAATCTGAAAAATAAATATTCAGCTTTATTTTCTGTCTATCGCAAAAATTTAAATACAAAAAAAAATATGATAATATGTTTACTTCGATGATCGCTTTCAGAATGATCAATGATCGTTCGTTTTTAGAAGCCCATTGATAACAAACGTAAGGTAATATCGCAATCATTAAGAATCCCTCTAAACTACGTAGGATCGCGCTTTCGATCAATTTTCTCAATTTCGAAACGATCTTCGAGCTTTAATCGAACGATTATTAGGAATCTGTAGAATAATTTATGAAAATTTTGATGTATGTACCTCTTCTCCTTTTTTTCCCTATAGCTTTTCAGAACGAAAGAATCATAATTTTTATCCACATTTTTATCACAATCAGAAAAACAATTAATTTTTATCGGCATGGCAACGATTTTAGGACGCATAGGTTATTTCGAAAATCTAAATATTCTTTGCGATTAATTTTCACAGAGTTCTTATAAAAATTTAAATTAACGAGAACAAATCGTATCGTCGTCGTCATCGTCTTAATCTTAATCAGCATAGAAATTTTAAGACGCAAATCGTCTTACCAGAAATATCACGAAAATTTGTTTAATCGTAACATATTTTTCATCGTACGCCGAATAGATTCATTTGTCTAATGAATATGGCATGCCACTCTGAATATTTTTCGGATCTATTTACAAAAATGTATACAGTTTTCTTTTGTTAACTTCTTTTATTCATTTTTATACAATATTTTTCTTTACTAAACTATATTAAAATAAATCTTATTACCTTATAAAACTAGTTCAGGTATCTAATATTTGGTAGAATTTGTTTGCAATTCGTTCGATTTCTTCGATCAAAATGTATGCATGCATTTGTCATGTTCATAAAAAATTCATTTTTTGTTCGATGTAATCAAATCAGTAGACAGGATATCGATATTCCCACGACCTATATCTGTGCGGTGGTGGTGTACCATAGAACTTTCGTTCGTTCGACTTTTGCCTTCTCGCTACTTGTTGTCTATAGACAAATAATGGTCTGAACACTTTCGCATCTTGGGTCTCGAGATCTTTCAATTCGTCCTTACGTTCCTCAGAAATCGATCTTGAAACTCTTCTCAATGAATCCACATTATGTTCATCGTTCTTTAATATGGCCAAAGGTGGCATTATTTCGATTTTACCATTGTCATCCAATTGCTTTTTAGGCATACCATATGCTTCCACCTAAAAGAAATATTTTCATTTTTATAAATCTCTACTATTTAATGTCAAATAATATTTTCATTTATATAAATTAATACATACAATGCGAGAATTTCGTGAACGTTCGTCGCCTCTTTCGGAATCGGCAACATTAATTCTCTCGATCAAACCATTATCTTCTAAATCCTTCTTCGGCAAACCATAAGCTCTAATACCTGATATATTCTTGTTCGATCCGATATTGATATTTCGAACTTTTCCATCGAATCCAGTTCGACGATCTATATAAGGTCTTTTGAAATTAGCTTCATCGTTGAAATATCTTATTAATGATCGTGTTCCTCCTTTAACATTGTTCGATCTAATATGAGTTTCTAAGTGTGCGGGAGAATCGTTAAGAAATTCTGCGGTACTCCATGCCAATATCGTAATCGTATACAGTATTGATAAAAATTGCTGTTGAAATAATATATATATATATATATATATATATATATATATATATAAGAGATTATTAATGATATGCATGAAATATGCATTATGTATGTAACGTTCAATATAAACAAAAAAAAAACTTTAGAAGGAAATAAAACCACCGTTCAAGGAGAACTGATAAAGAATCATTGCTTACCATAATTGCAGATTGTAGAGACCTTCTGATCTCTTCTCTTGTTGATTAATATAATTACGATATGTTTCCTTATTTCGGCACGTCTTTCGTCGATGGCTTTTAAACAACGTTTGAGAGCAAATATCGAGAAAACGATGCTTATATATAATCGCGTTGAAGCACATGATTAAACTATTCCCACATGTGTATTTAATGCTATGCAGATTCATTGCAGAGGGGGGAATAGTTTCATTCCTGGTACAAATCCTGCTTTTGCGTACCTTCCAGCTTCTTTCATGACTCATAGACTAGTAAGGAACTCTTGGAAAAAAAGAATAGAAAACGAAATAAAAAAGAGAGAGAGAGAGAGAGAGAGAGAGAGAGAGAGAGAGAAGAGAAGAGGATAAAAGGCTTGATTTCGAAAGATACGTGCAGGTGAAAGCGCCAATGAAATTTATACCATTGACCCTTAAATTTATATAAAAGTGACATACTTTTATAAAACGCGTATCTCTTTTTTTTTCTCTTTCTTTTATTCATCTGCGATCGAAATTTAATCGTTTGATCCGCTTATATGCGAGATCATTTATATGTTTGTTTCTGTAATTAAAGATATAGGGTTTAAATGAACTACGTTGTTAACATATCTGATATATCTCGTAATTTTCTGCAAACAACAGATGCTAAGTATCTATTCATCGGTTTTTACATAGAAATGTAAAATCAGGTAGATTGTAGAACAGAAATTTCATTGTTCCGACTTTGCTTGTATTCTCGGTTATTGAAATGTGAATGAGTGACGATAAGATCTAAATGATTAATCATTTCCCCTGCAGGCATTAACGGCGCCACACTAACTACGGCTTCTAATCGTTCCACGTTTGTTTGTATTTACGTATGTTTTTTTTCTTTTATTTTTCATTGTTTTTTTTTTTTTTGTTTTTTCTTTATACTCGAGTTGGCCATTTAATTTTCTCCAAAACATCAAGAAAGGACTTATCGAAAACAATGGTAACGTCATTTTTTCAGTTTACTTTGTTTACAAATTGTCCGAACACGTGAGTCAGCTAAGTAAATAAGTAAGAAGGGATCGTGGAACTAAGAAGAGATGTGTTTCTTTGAAAGGCATGTTTGGAAAAGTACGATCTAATTAATTTTTTATCGATGTGGCTTTTCGCCGAACGATTTGCACGTTAATGTTCCGCATTTTGCGATGACATAATTAATAATGGAAGTTAGATTAGATTACGATAAAAATGAAACTTTTATTATTAAATTGAATTCGTTCATCTTGAAATTAAATAGATAAATGTATAAACATTTAGAGGCGAGATTCTAATATCTTTAGACATGCTAAATACTACGTCTTGTACAATTAGAACCGTAACACATCGTTTAGAGTCTAGATTAATTGCGATTAGCCAGCTTCGTCAATGACTAATCGGACAAAGACGATGACGTATTAAATGAGAGATATCAATGACAAGTTTTTATGGCATATTCATCTTGAAAGCGTCTCTATGTAAAGAAGAAGAAAAAAAAGAAAGAGAGAGAAAGAGAAAGAGAAAGAATTGAAATGAAAAGAAATTCTTACGATATTCCGTTGAAATACAATTTATTAACGTAACATTATAAATTAGATACGCATAATGCATAACAACAATATTTTAAACTTTCAAAGCATTATATAACGATCGAGTCATCCAATTTTTTCTTTTTAATAACTAATAATTAGTAATAATCATCGGAATATCGTGGTCTGTATCGACGTCTTGGATAGGAATCGTAACTTTGATAGGAATTGTATCGTCGATCGTTATAAGCATCAGCCCTACGATGTGCTTCTTGCCGAAATCTAAACAACGGCCTAAAAATGATATCCTCTGCGGTGCTCATATCCTCGTTATTATCCTTCGAAGGATCATTTTTATCATCTTTTGTTTTCCAAAGATAGGGCGAATTGGCATCTCGTGGAACAAGAATGATCGTCGGTAAATTGAATTTCCGAGGTGCAAGATATTCTAAATTTTTAATCTGTGAATCGTACGTCATAGGAGATGATCCAATCTGTAAATGAAACAATTAAGATTTCATAAAAATTACTGACAATCGTTATTACCATATACTCGTACCTTTTTATTTCTTTTTCAATCATTTATATTTTTTACCTCGACTTCACTTCCTATAGAACGTTTCCAAATTTTCGGAGCGACACTCAACGAAGAGTCATCGATGTATCGTTGCACCTCTCTTCGAATTTTCTCGCTATTAGCATTCAAATAATTCAATTGATCGTCCACAACGGTTGGATTGACATTAGGTAACAGAGCGACGATTGAACTCTCGATCTTATCATTCGTTTCCTTTGAAGGATCGAGTACTGCCACTACTGGTACCGGTATATCCTTCTTGGCGATCTTTGAAATATTTATCTTTTGCGTGACTATACCTTCCGGCATTTCGACTTGAGGTATTATACTTGGTAGAATGGCTTTCAATTTCTCGTAAGTATCGTTTCGATCTTCTACGAAATCTTTCGATAACGTATTGGCGTCATTTTCTGTATACCAAGTATTTTCATTTTCCTGAAACATCCGATAATTCTTTAAAATATAGAAATTATAAGAACTTACACTCTCTATGTATCGATTAGAGAATTCTTTAATGGTGTATTATTGTGGAATTTGATGTCAACATAAATGTTATAATCCATAAATAGAAATTTTACGTTCCATCATCGTTTATATTGTCGTTTGCCTCCAACGCTTACGCACCTCATTTGCGTTGTCCTCAATTATTGACTGATACATAAGTATCGACTCTTCCGATTGATTGTCTTCCGGTGATTCGGTTTCCGTTTGAAGATCTTCAGTGATATTCTTTTGAATGTCCTCCAAATGCGACGTAGGAGCTACGAGAATTTGCTGTCTATGGGAGAGGACCTAAAACGATTATTAATAATTAACAGAATCTTTGTTAAACATGTCGAATGTTTTACTAACCTGATCAGGCATATTAGCAGGGATAATAACAACGTTCTTTTTAACAACTAGTCCCGATAAAGATCCATTACCGACGGCATATTGAATGGCATTCTTTACAACTGGATCCTGTACAATGGCAGCCACAGTATCGTTTTTAGTTTGCGGGGTTGCAGGAAGTAGGCTCTCGACGTCCTCGCTATTCAGAGGCTTTGCGTAACCACGACCTCCTCCAAGAATCAATGTCAAACCAGGAAACAGAAGTGTCCATCTAAACTGAAACGTTAATACATAACAATGAATGAATAAACATTTTCTTATCTTGAATACTAGATTTGTCATAGATTTTTCGAACGTAATCTTGCATATTATTGTACACTGATATTTAATATGATATCACTTTTATTTATTATCAAACGTATTCATTTTTTTAGGAATGTCTAGAGAATATTTAAAATTACTGGTTTTTTCTTTTTTATTAAAAATCCGTTAATACATTAATTACGATTTGAAAGTTTTACAGTTTTCCGAAATCGAGCGTTTTACGAATAATATAAATTGGCGTTATTATTTTATAGGCAGAAAATCACAGGTGTCAACGTACCGACGATGAGTACTTCATCTCGTTGAGTATAGTTTCTAAGTCAACGCATTTAAAGACAGCTCCAGCCAAAAGTTGTGACTCCTCTGAGTCTCTTATAACGGTCAGTTCGGGTTTTATATAAGGTGCTGAAAAAATTATCGCCAGTTTGCTAAATGCCGTGTGTACCGTACGTGCGATCCACCGATAATCTACCTTTGCCAAGTGGAACTTTTGATAGGTACGCAGTAGAAATAACTTCCTGAAGATCTACTTTACTCCTAATATATTTTTTATATGACCATTCGAACGTTCTTCGTTATGTTAGAAGGTATAATACCTTAGATTATTATTAGTCCTTAGTGCTCGTTAAGATATACGCGTGACTTTTAAACTGGTCAAATATCTACACTCCAAACGATGATCCAATTCTTAATTCTTACGACATCGACAAAATTAGCAACTCAAAATCGTCGTTATTAATTCGTCTTATCTACTGTTCTTCCATATTTTCTTTGGTTTTTTCTTTTTTTTTTTTTTTTTTTTTTTTTTGAAAAATATGAACTTCGTAAAACGTATCTCGAACGTGTTTCGAGATAACACTGTCACTTAGCACGCGGTTAACGACGCCACCAAAACTTTAAAGTGTTTAACCATCGACTTAGTAAAGATTCTACGTTCTCGGCTATAAAAGAAGCAAGTTATCTGAAAAACACGTTAGTCGACAAATAACTGTACCGAATACTACAGGATAACGATCCTTCAAAATGGCTAGGATTATTCTTGCCTTAAGTCTTCTGTTTGGTGTCAATCATTATGTTGAATGTCAAAATTCAAAAACGACGAGTTCGATGTCGACTTCAAGTGCCGTCATTGTTAAAACCGAAAATACAAAAATGTCAACGGAGACAAATGGAAAGGATGCCTCCAACACCGTTGATATTTTTCAAGACATTCTTCTTGATCCCAGTCTCGTAGTCGCTCGTTTGAATCGTGACGTCAGTAATGAAGAATCGACCTGGTCAACACCTTTGATCGACGTCAAGGATGAACATTCTTCGAATGTCAAAGAAGATCTTAATACAGAGGAAGATAGATATCATTCGGCACCATATTGGTATCGACGACAAGATTGGCAGGTAGAAGAAGAAAGGCCAGCTTACAAAAAAAAACCTTACCGGAGATTCCTTAAATATCCAGTATTTTCTGGAAGGTAACAAGGTCGTTAGCGATGTATAATGTCATATATAAGTTTAATTCTTTTTTTTTTTGTTGGTTTTTTGTTTAATGGAATAAACTTATTTTATATATAATTGTATTCTACGTGTGTCTGTGTATGGAACATATAAAGAAAAAAGATATATTTTATCACGTAATATAGTAATACCTTTATTGTTGAATATTTTATATTACACTAACTTATATATCTAACAATAAGTATATTCAATATATTCGTATCACAATAGTCATAAATACTTGAACCTTTCAAGAATATGACGTACGTATAATACGTCGTACTTTGGTAACAGCTTCTTATCTTCTAAATATTGGCGCTTAAAATCTAATCTTTCTCATCTATAAATCTAATATTTTCGCGATAATAGTCAGTCGACATTTTTTTTCTTCCATCTGGTTGAATCCTCGAGATGAAATTTTTACGATCTCTCGTCTTTGTATTTACAAATACTTTTTGTAAAAATAGAAGGATCGTTTCATCAAGTCAATCGTATCCGAAGGATACTTTTATTAGGATACGTTCCCTGTCATCCTAAAATCCTTGAATATTTTTCCTCCATTTTTTTTCAATAGATCAGAATAGATCTATGCTCTTGGTTTCTTCATTGATCACATTTCGATCAATCCTTGTCTTCTTCGGTCTTTGGTAAGCCACTTGATATGCTTCTTAAAATCAAATTAGGGAGCACAATTGTTGCTTTCCACGATTAGACTTCTAATAAGTAATACTCGTCATGTTTTAAATATATGAAGAATCGGATCTCTCGGTAATCGTATCAAACGTCCTTTTGTCGATATATCAGTCAATGTACTGATCGTCGTATAAATGGTTCGAAATCTCATATATTCGATTCAAAAACGATTTCCACGACGAATTGCTTCTCTTAGACGTTGTCTATAAGCGAGTTGTTGACGATAAACGAAAAGGGGCCGAAGAATGTTGGTGCCTGCTGCTGTCTCGAGATCATTGTTCGCATTTTCTTCGATCACTGCATTGCGTTTCTCGATCCTACTTCGGTCCGAGTTGGTGCTATTCTTCGAGAATAAATTTTCTTGATCGTTTAAATAGCCACCAATAACGAGAAGAACCGACGGTACAACAATTTCTTCTTTTCCTTCTTCGCTAGGGAAAACATCGGCATTTATCTTCTCCTCGATTAAGATTGGGACAGCAATTACCGGTTGGAAGACCGATGCTCTGTTGATCGGAGATCCATAGGAACAACTTACAACGAAGAAGAATACAAAAGCGAAAAGCTTGGCAACAATCTGAAAGTGAAAAAGAACAAATGGTTCTTCATTTCATTTTACTTTTCAAAGAAAACATTTTAATCTCCTTCTTTTATAACGTTATTATACTATGCATTGTTTCTATTATTTTTTTTTTTTAATCAAATTTAACTTCTTGCCTTACCATTTTCGATTAATGTCAATGATCTTCTATTTTCTTTCCAATTTTCGTAGTTTCCTTTAATAATAGCAGATGCTGCAGAATGAGTATCGATTGTAGATCCGTCGTACTAGCTTCACGATAAGTTTATGGAGGAAAGGAAGAGCTATTGAGTATTTATATCTAACAATGACGTCAAAGGAGAGCACGCTAATCGTACAATGACGCTCAGCGAACGCGATAATTAACCTGGTAAACCAAAATGATCCATCTTTGGACCTGCATAATACGTCAAAACGTTGTTGTAATATGTTTTCCATGTTACAGTCTTATAAATTCAACCTCCGTATCCTTCGTTATCCATTTTTCCTTAGACCTTCGAGTTATTTCCATATCATATTCAATTGTTCGTGAATATCAATGTTAATGTACCCATCATTGTGTTTCTTGATATAACTAGATGTGTCTCAATAGTGATGTTATTATCTACTGGTGATGTTATTAAAATTTGAAGAAAATACTTGTACGTATGTATGTTGTCTTAGGTTATGCATGCATTGAGTCAGAATCTTTTTTTAATGTTTATTTTTTTTCCTCAAATTCTCGTGACAAAGTTTCCTTAGAATACTTATTAGCAAATTTGATATTTAAAGGAAATCGTCTTAAGGATGATCATCGACAAATAAAATGCTATTGGGAATTAGAATAGAAAAGAATTTCATTTTTAAATCGCAAAAAGTTTATTCTCTTTTATATGGTATTTTTGTTTTTGTTCCTTTTACATTTTTCAACTAAAAGCAACGTAAACGCTTCTTAATAATATGCATTATTCGCTTTGCTACATTTCAAAGATATACATATAATATTGAAAATTATGTGATCGAATCCAGATTGTTCGTTAAACATCTGATTTTACCACCATCCCCAGCCTCTGCCACCCCATCCTCTTCCGTACCATCCGCCACCCCAGCCTCTGCCACCCCAACCCCATCCTCTGCCGTATAAACCGCCACCCCAGCCGTATCTCCATGGTCTTGAATATCTGCAATAATGTACAATTAATAATCGATCGATAATACACATTTTCGTCCTGCAATCAATTTATTTTAGCAAAGTATTTTAACAAATTATAACTCGTAAAATAAATTTTATAAAAAAATTGTAATTTTTATACTAAAAAAACAACCGAGACAATGTTCCTTTTTCGAGTTGAATCTAATGCAAATGCGCTTGGTTTTATACTCGTCACGTGGAACACAACTGTTTACTTCAATGTTAGTATGCCAGACAAATCGCGTAAATCCAATACGCACAACAGATGTTGCATACAAAAACATTCGCGTGTACATGGACGAGAACACACGTGAAAAATATTTATATATCGTAAAACTTGAATAACAAGATTATGTTTTAGAACTCACCCCCAAAAGCTAGCGTCTGCTTCTAAATCATTTTCTTCAGCTAAGTTACTCGGTCTGTTCTCATCTACTTGTTCTGGCATCGGCACGGATACCACAAAGGTTATCACCAACAAAAGCAACACCTAGAATAATCATCGATGTGCAACATATTAGTAGAACTCGACTAATTCGTTTATATACTCTTGTAATTAGCGATAAAATAAATGCCTTTGAAATCTTTAAACGCGTATCATTAAATCGATTTTAATATAAAAGGAAAGAACACCATAGCAGATTAATTCCGGGAAAAGGAATCAAATAAAATTGACTATTTCTGAGATATTTAGGAAGGATCACTTACGAAATGCAGTGGACGCAACATGTTGAAGACTGATATCCAGTTCGGTTTTCTCAGGCTTTATATACCTACATGTTCTCTTCGAGACTTCCCCATCCGTTGTCCTGTTGCATTCGTGCATACGATGCATCTGTATCTTTCCGTGTATGTAATATACATACACGAGGAAAGAGAACTAGTATTTTGCGAGGAGAACCACTCATAAAAATGCCGTATACGTATTCTTCCCTATAAGAATGCACGCGATCGTACACCCGTTTACCGTTCACAAATCTTAAATCGATCGACATAGCAAAAATTTGGAAAATTTTTACTTCCTTAAATTATATCATTTTTTCTTTTTTCGACTATCTCAATCTTATTTTTTTTCTCATCCGGACGTTCATGACGAAACTGTTCATAACATTGCCATAAGTTTACAAGAAAAAGAAGTAAAAAAACATTTGTATCGTGATCCTATCGCAATATTTGTAATTCATAATTGTATGCAAATAAAAAAAAAATATTTAATCTTGCGAGCCTCATGAAGCATATAAATTATTTATAGAAAGTGACACCGTTGAATATGATAAATGATATTAGATGCAATTTGTTCGTTAGACGTTCCAATATCGACTTAATCAAAAGTTTGATTTCGCTAAGTCATTTCGAAGGAATGTTAATGAAATGAATAAAGTAAAGAGGATATTAAGATCGCCTATAAGATTATTTAGGTACAGGACGATAATTTATATAAGAGACTAGTCACTCTCTTTTAATTTAAATGCGTAAAAAGATCTTAAAGGGGAAAACCGAGATACGAACTGCAACGATGCATACATTACTTTTACGTTGTGAAAAGATTTCATCTATATATTCGATATGTACATGACGAATATTCACAAACCCGCGGTGTTAATCAAGTCGTGAAAAAAGTGCAAACATTCGAACGATGATGTGCTCCTCCCTCCAAAAGATACATTTTCATTGTTTATCCGACTTACATAAGTAAGCTTCACAGAAAAGAAGGAGAATCGTTGACCCTATCTTTGCAACCAAGGTCAAGTATTTTTTTTACTCTGAGACTACGAATAATTTTACTTTATCCTGCGTCCTATCGTTTACCTGACTCTTTGTTGTTACTTCGCAACCATCCTTTAGCATGCATATATTCATTTTCCATTCTCATTTTGATTCTTCCACTTTGCTATATTTTACTTTTATCTCGAATTAAAAAAAAGCTTTTATCTTAAACATTTGTACGAAAGATTTTATTTCTAATCAGAAATAAGAAAAATTTACTACTATTTTATTTATTTTATTTCATGCATTAAGTAAATATATTCGAGAACTCATGTTTAAATTTTCGATTCTCGATGTTATCGATCGAACAGCCATCTTGTCAACACCATCTATCGACGGAATTTTAAAACTAATTATAAGATCAAACCACTGCTTGACCATACTTGTCATAACTTGTCAACATTGATCATAACCTTACTGCATTTAATGCAGTTTTTCGGAAATGCATTACAACATGCCAAGGCATATAGAGATTGGTAAACAATTTATTGAATTCTTTACTTTTCAGTAAACCAAAATATTATGAGCATATATTTAAAGGTTATATTATTTTCAGGTATTATACCTAATAATTTGAGACATGAAGAAACAATAGTTCAAATAACTGAAGCATTAGACAATTTAGATTCTGCTGTATTGTATATATTTAATTGCATAGATAAAAGACTTACTGAAAATTCTCAAAGGTATCTCTCTCTTACATTTTTCCTTGTATCAGCAAATTTTTTTTAAAAATTTTGTAAAATCCTATTTACGAATAATAATAATCCTAATCGATATTGTTTATTTTTTACAGACTTTCAGATATAAAACATAGAGCTCTAAAGTTGGAAAATCAGTTACGATACTTGCAATCTAATTTAAATTTAAAAGCTATTAAAATATATTCTGCTGCAAAATATCCTGCCAGTCATACATACAATGAATATAAAGTGGCTATACCATTGCAACGTGATAATATTAGTAATATACCAAGTATTTACAAATGTTCTGTACCGATAAAAGACACACATGAAACACACCTACCTTCTAATTTCAAAACCGAAGATGGCCAGTATTCAATAAATGTTAATCTGCAAGAAAAGTTACAGTTTTACTATGTTAGACATAAAACAAATGAACAAATAGAAAATGATATAAATACACGTCAATATGTACCATCTTTACCTTCGTCTGTCAGTGCTCTTCTACTATTTGATAATGTAAATACCACGTATAGAAAAACTTTATCATCTAATAAGTCTAATGATAAAAAACAAATTGAAGATGCACCCGATTCAATTGTGCAATCGTGGCATTCATCAGAAATGGATTTGCCATCTGGTTACCTTTATACACCTATACTTGGAGAGGTAATAACATATTTTAAAGTATATATCCTTATTAATTAACAAATATTCTAATCTCTTTACATATGTCCAGGTTCCACAAATGAATGTACCACTTATGCTACCAGATTTACCAGGAATTGTAGATAATGAAAAATTTGACTTAGATTTGAATTCACAAAGTCCTATTGCTCCCTCTTCGGCTGTTGTTACTCCTACGGTTCGATTAGATTTACCACTTTTGACTGAAGAAGGTGATTCGCAAACTACAATTGAATCTAATGTTTCAAATCTGCCCAATTTATCTGTAAACAATTCATCAGTCTGTATTGAATCTAAATCATCAACAGTAAATGCAACTATTTCGTCAATTGGAAATAATGTTGGACAGAATGAAACAAACTTTAAGGCAATACAACCTCCATCAACTATGCCACCACCACCACCACCACCACCACCATCGACTGCTGCACCACCACCGCCTCCACCACCACCACCGCCACCTCCTCCTCCTCCTCCTCCTCCTCCTCCTCCTCCATTTTCAACATTACCATCTACTTCATCAACAGAGAAACAATCTCAAGATGAAAGTTTACAAAAGCAGAATGAAAAAAAATCTCAGTCTAATATAAAAAATATTAATACCGACGATCGATCAAATTTAATGGCAGCAATACGTGATGCGGGTGGTATTGGAAGAGCAAAATTGAGACCTACAGTGCCAATTGATAAAAAAGAAAATCGTTGGTCATCAGCTTCGGTAGGCGGAGATCTAATGGCAGATCTTCATGCAAAATTAGCTTTAAGAAGAAAAGGTATTGCTGGCTCTGCAACAGGGGCATTAGAGAGAATGTCAAGTTCAATACCACCACCGCCGCCTAAATCGAGTGAACACTATGCATCCGATAGAAATTCTGCTACGAGTGAATATGATTCTCAAGCTGACACAGATGACTGGGAAGAGTAATTGAACGGTATGATTATATACAATACATATGGAAATTATGGATGTGAAATGTTAAAGAATTAGATAAAGAGAATAATCTCTTTTCTTTTTTACTTCATATAATATCTTAAGATTATGTCATGTACAAAAAACTACTATATAACTATATATATTGTAAACAATTTACAATAATCTTGATAAATATAATAAACAAGATACAGCTTTATAATATTACATTTAATTACAAATCAGTATATGCATAAGCAGTACAATGCACTACTGCTTTAAATAACAAAGTTCATCATTTTATATTATAACTCTTTTTTATAAAAATAAATTATAATATCTAGAGATTTTTTTTTTTTTTTTTTTTTTTTTTTTGTTTTTTTTTTTTTTTTTTTTTTTTTTTTTTTTTTTTTTTTTTTTAATAAAAGAACTATGTTCGTTTAGGTATCTAGATTCAATAGACCAACTTTCAATATAATTTATACATTCTTATGTATAACATTGATTTAATAAGTTATACAAATGAACACTTCTACTTATTTCATTTTCAATATAAAATGTTGATATATATATATATTACTTTTATAATTTACTCAAAAAATATAGAATTAATATTTTTTGACTTGTAATATGTATGGCAGTGCTATATATATGAATAATATATATTTCTTAATATTATATTGTTGATATGTCATATTTCCTTTATAAACTATATTATTTTATTCTTAGAAAATTCAATTAAAATATAATTCTCTACTGAATAGTAACATTAAAAATTTAAACATTTTATAAACAAACAGTTTAAAAATTCAATATTTAAAGAAACCCATAGTTACACTATTACAGCAGTAATTATCATTCAATAAATGAGGCAAGTTTTGTTGTTAACTTTGTTACTACTGCTTATGAGATTACATTGATAAACTTTTAATATGATCTACAAAATAGTACATTGTATAAAAAGTATGATCAACAAAAATATAATAAACCATTTGAATAATTGCTATTGCAGTCTTAAGTTTAATTTTATAAACTAGGTGCTATCCAATTTAAAACATTCATAGCTGCTTCAAATCCAAGAAAACATGCCGCATTTGCGGGAAAAGCACGTAACATAACGGGTGTGCACCCTTTATAAAGTGCTCTTAGCCCCTCCTCTTTTAGCAAACGTGCAAACACTTCACGAATACCTTTTTTATATGTGCCTTCAGGAGCTATGAAATTGTCAATTGATTAGGATCTCAAATTGATTATATGCATTCATATAAAAAGCAAAAATTATCGAAAATAATCTTTATTAAAAAATACATACCTGCTTGCAATCGGCTTTTTAAAACATCTGGTGGAATACCAACTACCCAATTGGCAATACCAGCAAAACCACCGGCTAATATTGTTGATAATAAACCTAGTTTTTCTCCATCAGGTACTATCCACCTTTGTATAGTTTCGTATGTCATAAAATACATTCCACTTGCAGGTACATCTATAAGAATATTATAGTAAAAGGTTAGAATATATTGATTAGAGGTTTCAAAATATTTCTGCTAATCAGAAACAGTCCGTAAATATTACATACAATTAATAACAGTGGATAATGTATGTGGGTGGATAGATAGAAGGCATCCTGTTTGATAGGAGGTATCGAGGAAGATAGATAACAGTTTACAAATTTCAGTTTCCTTTGGAACAGCGAACTGTTACTTGGTATAGAAATTGTGCTGCATTTAAGAATTTTTATAATTATGGCAATTCCATTACTTTATCTCATCGTTTTTTTTTGGGTACATAATTCTATATAATTTGCACAAATAATAAATTTTAATATAGTGTAACTTTCATTCACATCCAAGATATACTTAAATACTAGATTTGATAATCCTCTCAGGCTTATAGCATTTGAATAAGCAACATTTTAATCAATATATAATTATCATTATTTTAATAAATATAATTTCTATATAATTAGTGATGTAAGTGTTACATATATTATAAAATTGATTATTCAGATACAGTGTATGGGACAAATAATAGATATTGGTGATATTTGGGAAACACAATGTCCTCAAGGATGTTCTTGTGAAATACAAAAATTTTCTGATCTGCCACTACATCAATGGACTATTCCAAGAAAGTGGAGTAATGTAAGAAGTAAATCTGTGAAGTGTTTTTCTTTTTCCATTAATAAATTTCTATTTAACAGACCCCAACAGTGGATGAAAATGATTTTAGCTCTGATAGCGATCACATAGGTGATGAATTATTAAAAGTTGCAACATGTGTAGTAGCAGAAGGACATGAAAAGCTTTTAAGCATGCTTCCTTCAGATATACAGGTAATGTTTAATCAGTATCGCTTATACAAATATTGAATTGAGAATTATATAATGTAATGATAGAAGCATCATGTAATGCATTATTGTATTAATCTGTTGTTTGTAAAAAAACTAATGAAAAAGAAAAAGTACTCTTTTTTTCTTTTTTTTTTTTTTTTTTTTTTTTTTTTTTTTTTTTTTTTTTTTTTTTTTTTTTTTTATAAATACAGGTTCTCACAATACTTAGGTCAGGTAGAGGAGATGCTGAAATTTTTTTCAAAGCTACAACATTCCAACGTTTTTCTGAATTACTATCTTTAAGTATTGAGGGTATAGATTATAATGACCCTTCTGTAAAAGATGTAAATAGATATGAATCAAAAGGTGGTATAGTTTTAGCAGGTGACGCTTTGTTTCCATTGGGAATGACATTACTGTATTTGAACTTAGAACGTGTCAGATTAACAAGCCTTAATTTAACAAGTAAAAATAAAGCAAATCTTGTAATTAAGCCAATGAATTTACCTAATGATGAAAAACTTTATAAGGAGCAAGTAGTAACAAGTACTACAAATGAGCATAAAGGACATAGATTAATTTTTCTAAGTCAGCAAAACAGTGGAGAAAGTGATGACAAAGAAATACTTCCATATGATATTTACAAACAAGAAATGGATGGGTATAGAGAAAATGCTGGTCTTTTCACTGGACTTCGTGCCCTCACACATTTGAGGGTATATGATTGTGCACTTAAAGACATATCTTGGCACATGTTCGATGGCCTTGATAGTCTTCTCTATCTTTCATTAGAAAAAAATAATCTGAGATTTATCCCAGAATTTTGTTTTTATGGAACACCAAACCTAAAATTATTATCCTTAGCAAGTAATCAATTACTAACATTAAAAAGTATAGATTTAGCAGGCTTGTTGATGTTGGAACAATTAGATTTAACTGGAAATAATCTTACATTTTTATCAGAATTATCTTTTCCTCCATTCCCTGCTCTTAAAATGGCTGATTTTGGAGAAAACCCAATGGATTCTGTATTTCCAAGGTAATTTTGATTTCATGAAATATAAAGATAATATGAATATCATATAATTCATTACAATATGTACGTTTTCTTCTTTTTTTTTTTTTTTTGTTTTTTCTAGTACATTTGAAATTATGAATACAACAAAACAATTATATCTTGGAGGCACAGGTTCAAGATTAAAATTGCAAAGAAACTCCTTATTGGGATTACTACAATTGAAAATATTATATTTGTATAATGTAGAAATACCATTGCTAGAACGTTTTATCTTGCAAGGAATGCCATCATTGACACATTTAAAAATACGTGGAAATATTTCAAGTGTGGATTTAGATGCGTTTTCAGATCTTGGAAAATTGATAGATTTAGATTTAAGTTATTGTCACATTCAGCATATATCTATGGACGCGTTCTATGGTTTAGAGAAAGTGAAACGTATAGACTTATCTAATAATGATCTGGAATTTATACCACCTGGATTATTCAGTACACAATATCAAAAAGAATTGAATGAAATTATTCTCACAAAAAATAAATTAACTACATTACCTTGGGATTTTTTTAAAACCTTATGGACAGTAAATAAGCCATCTCAAGTGCAAAATATAAAATTGGATGGTAATCCATGGGATTGTACATGCTCTATGGCTACTTGGAATCCACATTTGGTATGTAAAACTCAAATTACAATGTAATTTATAGAGATGAAATATTTATAATAATCTTTGTTATCTTTAATATTTTGTGCATAAACGTTTATAATATATAATGTCTGATTCAATAGGTGAACAGAATTAGAGAAACAGCACCACGTTGTTTCACACCTAAAAGACTACAAAATTGGGGAGTTTTCCATGCTCTGCGTAAAGGTGGTTTGCAATGTAAAAGATCAAAGCGAAGGCGTATGCATGGAATTCCAAAAGTATTAAATTATGAAAATAACAATGCTATAAGTTAGCAAATTCTTTTTTACTTGCATCTAATTTATAGTAAACATTCTAAATTTGGATAAACTAAAAAATACATCAAATATGATATTTAATATATACTTTTGCAATTGTTTCATTTAAATTTTTCTCAAAATGTGATACATACATGCTAAAGCAGGTTATACACTTAGTTATACACTACACTGTACAGATATAATTAATGTAATTTATCATATTTACAAACCTCTCAAAAAGGTTGCACATGTACCCTTATAAATACTCCTAAGGCCTCCTTCTCGATAAAGTTGTTTAGCACAATCAAAGGGACCTTTATATCTTTTCTCTGCATCTGCATGTTGTATTTGTAATAGACACTTTATCCGTTCACCAGGTGCCATGATAATAGTTGTAAATATTCCACTAAATGCACCAGCATAAAATAATTGTGGTATAGTGAGCTTATCATCTGGATTTTTTTGTTGTAACTTTTTTCCAACACCATATCCCAAAAAACTCATTGCAAATATAGGTGCCACTCCAACTAATGGTGCTCCCATACCTAAGTAATGTTTAAGTTATACCTGTTGTAAGGGTATGTAGATATGTATACAATATATGTATAAAACGCTATTATAACAAATAATAATATTAATAATATGAAATATATGCATACCCTTGTATAAACCACGTATTCCTTCTTTTGCTATAGTTTTTTTAGCACAATCTAATGTACCTATATACAGAGGCTTTTCATTCGGTCCAGTAAGTGGCATAGTTTGAAGACGCACCTTAAAAATGATAAATAGTATAAGTATTTAAATAATATAAGTACTTAAATCACATAATTCTGATATTCAAGTAAATAGCTATGATAGAGAAAAGAATTAAAATTAAAAAAGAATATAGAATAAAATAGAAGTAAGTAATTCCTACTTGAAGATCGTGTTTAAAAAATACAATCATCAAAAATAATAGAAGAAAATATAATTAACGGATAAAATAATTTATTCTTTTTTTATGGTTAGGAATATGATCTTACTTTGATAGTATCAAGAGGATGGCCAGCAACTACTGTACATATTCCACCAAATCCTCCGCTGAGGAAATATTTAATAGGACTCACGGTTTCAGATCCCATGATTAAAAACTCGTGTTAATACTATATCCAAAATTACTTAAACTTTTCTCGGTGTCTTTTATATGCCGTATCTAAGTCCAAGGGTCAATGATAGACATTAACAATTTACTTATTTAAAAGTAATCGTTGATGAATAGACTGAATTTTAATTCATTCGTATTACCACTAGGTGCACTAGTACAAAATTTCTCCGTCAGAGAGCACTTTCTGTAATATCTGCGTAAGTATCTAGTAACACTTCATTCTCTGTCTATCATAACCTTCATAAATCATTTGGATAGCGTGGAGAGAAGTAGTACAAAGGTTAGTTATTCACTCTGTGTAATTATATATTTTTTAAAGTATCAATATTTTAACTATCATGGATCTTAATTTTAATATGAAGAATTTTATTATTAATAAATTTCAAATTCTTCTTCTTTACGAAAAATGGTAAAGATTAATAGTAAAATTTTGGCCACGTGTTCATATATCGTACAATTCAAATCGTACAAATTGTTTTGTACGTACATTTATTGTTATTAAACTTTATATACAATTTAATATAATAAAAATATAATGATGAAATGATACCAGTAATGATATTGATGATTATTCAACACATGCACTACCAGCTGAAACGTTTTATTTAACATATCTTCCATGGTTAAAAATACAAGTGAAAACTTATTAATTCGATATTATTTTTATTTTTTCAGAATGCTTCCTAAGAAAAAAGACAACTCCAAACTAACAGGTTCGTTATATGAAAAAATTTTTCATAATGCTATTTTAATTATAAAGTAACTGCATGATGATATTATTACTCATTTTTATGATTTCTGATTATTCTTACATGCATCACCAGCTGATTAATTTCCTAACCGCTTTAAATATTATATGTGATTTAAAAAAGACAATTAATGTAAAATTTTTTTTCCAGGATAAGAGTAACATGCACTTTGGAATACAAAAACGTAAGCAATTTGTGTTAAAAAAAAGAATACATTGTATCTATCAGTATAATAAGAAATAAATATAAAATATAACAAACAATCAATGATCGTTTGATTTTGAATATTCTATATAAAGAATATTCTTAAACAACAATTATTTAGAAATTTGTTTAATGTACATTTCGACACTCTCCCAAATTCTTTGAAATTTATCATTTTATGTGATATTAAATTACAAGAAAAGGTTACTCAAATAAAAGCAAAAATTATTAATTAAGATTTTACTTAATTTATACATTATTCAAATAAATTATGTTAGTATTATCGCTTTTCTTTAATTTATCTAATTGAAACTTATTATTTGACTTATATTATGTGAAACGTTAAAAAACCTTTCTTAGGAATATTGTTTTAAAAAAATAATGTAGTATTACATTATAGAATAACAGTTAAAAGTATATGGAGAATCCATATAATCTAAGTTTTTCTTTTTTACGTATTCATTTTGTCTTTACTGCAGGGTTTAAAGATTTTATTTATTAAGCCAGTGATATGTAAAAATACATATATTATCTATATACAATATTTTATAATATTGGTGCAGCAACCAAGATATACATATATTATACATGTGATTATTATTATCAATATCTCATAATTAATCTGCATGAGAGAATATTCTTTCTAATTAAATTTTTAATACATAAGAAATAATGAAACTTATGTTACAAGTCATATTTGTTTTTTTTTCTTTTTTCCTTTTTTTTATATGGTGCTATGAATACATTGTACTTTTTCTTATATCAAATATAGCAGGAAATTCATTTTTTTATATAAATATTGCATGAATATTATAAATTTTAAAGAAATTAAAAGTTATTTGACTGATTAATATGTAGTAAAGTAAAATGATCTGTGGTATTAATACCAAATAACAATAGAAAATATGTAAGGATTGCTATAATTATTTTTTAGTTATTTCTTTTGCATAGCACAAATCAGATTACTTAAACAATTATATGTAAAGATTAATTATTATTGATACAGAATTGTGTACTGGACAGAGATCACGAAATATGAAGAGAAAGTGGTTTTATCATTATCTACTAATGCAGTAGATTTATTTATTACTCTTTGATATTTAAATATTTAATTCATGCTAGTAGTCCTTAATTTAAAAATGCGAAAATATACATCAGAATGAAAGTTCCAACATCAACAGAATCTTATATAACACGTCAAGTGCATAAAAGTACGTTGTAATACATAATTTAAAAATATCTCTATCCTGTGTTCTTATAACGTAATAATTTTATATATATATACATATAGATATATATATATATATGTATATATATATTATACATGTGGTATATATATGTATATATATATATATATATATATATATATATATATATATATTATACATGTGATATATATATATGTATATGTGTGTATATATATATATATATTATACATGTGGTATATATATATGTATATATGTATATACATATATATATACATATATATACACTATTGTGTACACAGAAATTGTAAAGGCACTCCAGATTATATTACATTTATATTTTACATATATCAACCAGTAGTTTTTTCCACTTGTAGTATCCAGAGGAGGAGATAAAAGAGACAGAATATTCATTTTTGTAAATTCTGACTCTTTAAAATATAGTTTCTTGCATTGTAGATGTTGTTTCTCTCTTATATTCCTTTTGTTTTTAGAAAAAGATAATTATATTACATATATTTAATTAATATAACAGATAGATTGTAATGTTTTATAACTAAAAGAAATAAGCTTGTCTATCCATCATACTTATAAAAATATTTCCAATTATTCAAACAAAAATTATATCAATTTTTACAATGAATACTGTATATAATAATATACATTACCAAAAGTTAAAAGAGGCTATAAAAAATATGAATTCAAAGAAGATATGTGTAAATAATTACTTTTTAAAGAAATAATGATCACGAATGCGGATCTAAAATAATATGTTAGCCCCATTTGATACATTTTATAGATATATTTATAGAATTCTTTTCCTATAAGATATATAGCAAAAAAATCATGTAAGTGACTAATTTATCACAAATTGACTATTTGTAAAACCATTGAGTTGTTTTTTACAATACCTTTCAATCATCTAGTTTATAATATACAAATGGAAGGTTGCAGTGATACTACATTAACACATCATTTATCTCAAAATAGCACGATCATACTGCCTCTGTAGATTGTACATTTTGAACATTAACATTTTTTTCATCCCCTCCATGCATGAACATTGGTGTGAATTTTATAATCATCTTTATCCAAAATATATATGATGATTTCCCAAATATCTGTCTATACATTCCCTACCTCCACATTTCATGTACCTTTGGCTTCTCGCTTTAGTAATAGCAAGTCTCACAAGCCTTTGTATTCATGCTTAAATACAGTATGTTACAGAACGCTTATCTATAAGAATGCATGTACATCACCATCGTTTATCTAACAATGTCTTAGGATAATGTACACAAACAAAACATGTACAAATTCCATAATCGATTAATAATTTTGATACAGTGTTTCAATATTGAACACCAACCTCAGTCCGCTTTTTGTTGATAGAGCTCTTTCAAGGACTTCAGCTCATCAATTAAAGTCTGATTTCTGTTTTCTAAAACTGCAACACGATTTTCTAAGCACTTAATATATTCCTTTTTCTTTCTTCTACATTCTCTTGCTGCTTGTCTGAAAACAAATATATTTATTAATACTCTATGATAGAAAAAATGTGTAATAAAAATTCTACAACTATTTTTATATGGATTGTATACTTGGATATTTTTGCATAATTTATTTAAATATTAATAAATTAATTATTTATCTTACCTATTCTTCAGCAACCTCAGTTCCCTTTTTCTAGCTGCATCTTCAACGACTACACCATGTCCTGGATAAGCTGTAACAGTGTCGAAGACTGTACATTTATAGATGAGGAAATTTTCATTAACTATTTTATTGTAAAAGAGCATAGTAAAGATATATATATAGATAGAGAGAAACTTTTCCTATAAAAATAATGCAAGAAGCATAATATGAAAATATATTGAGCTTTAAATATAAGATATGTGGTATTGTAACTTCACTATTGATAATACAAAGAAGTTAGAACTCTAATGACAAGTTAAAATATGGAATAATTAAATTAAATATATTTAACAGTTAAATAACAAGTTAAATAAACATGAGTAAAGCACACCTGGGACAAAATATTGCGTATCCTGACCCTGTGCATACTCTACTATAGCTCCACCTGCCGTTGCTGCATTACTCATAGTTAACGTATGAAGCCCTGGGACACCCTCCCCTTGAGTTGCAATTTGAATAGTGCCAGCAGGTATTACTGTAAAATATTATATCAAGCTATACTTATCCTTATATTGTTACTAATGTATAAGAACATATATTTATATTTGAATATGTATTCACACATTCATTATGCTATAAAAATTATAATGTCATGTATGCTTTAGAGGATATTGTGATGTAAACTATCAATATGTTTCATTAAATGGTAGCAAATTATATAAATTACTTTTTCATATATCATTGATATTATATAATTGAGATAAAATATTCTATAAACAAGGATGCCACACCAAACAAATATTTTGATATAATGTCATGTTAGGCAATACACACAGGGGTAGGAGATAGTATTTAAAATTTACATTTCTTAATGTAGCTATGCTATCAGTCAAAGACCATCCCAATTTTATAATAAAAAATATGTTTGACGGTGGATGAGATGCATATAGAAATCATAGTGGTACACAGGACAGCCAGCAGAAATATGCAGAAGATAAAATAACCAACCTGTCTGATAATGAAGAGAGTGGGAAGACACTTCACTGTCCACATTAGAATCGCACTCTGAAGAAGATTCTATGGGAGGCAAACGACCGTCTGCAACACCGAATGAAGAACCCTCCCATTACAGTGAAATGTATTTTGTCTTAATACATTTCTATGTCTTCTTATACGAGCAAGATTATCAACCTTTTTGACAAATTTATTCAAGTAAAGAGATATTGAGATTCTATTTTAATGATTTATATGAAAGATAGAATGTGATTATTATAATTAAAAATATTCTTAATTATAACATTGTATGTGCTGACAAAAATTTTTTATAAATAAATTAATATGTATTGTAATAAAATATAAATCATACAAATCGAAGTATGAGAAAGAAAGCAGTTAAAAACTATTTCCTTTCTGGTTACTGATCTATATATTTATTAATTCAGTGTGCCGTCAGCTCATACAAAAAGAAAATAGAGGATACAGTGAAAAATTAAAATATCCACTAAATATATCCTATTATTTTTAAAATGAAATTAACGATTACAAGAAAAATTATTTATTATTTCGTAAACTCATAGAGTCATTAAATAAAATAAAATAGTTACGAGTATATAATGGATATTGAAATGCAATATAACCAATAAATATATCTAATTAAATGTCATCCTATATGAACCATTAAAACAGGTCAAATAGTATGACAGATTAAAGATGACCAATCACATAGCATAAGTGGAAATTTTAAAGATAAGAATTCTATCAAATATAGATCTTCATTTTTTATAAAATTGATAGTAATAATAATAATAATATATTGGAAGAAACATGTATGAACATATTTTATTGAAATGGTGGCAAGTAATATTTATTCTTCTTAAACATTCATTTTTATTTGTAAGAAAAGACAGACAATTATGCAATTTATTAATTATTATTAAATTAATGAGAGAAATTACTGTAACAAATGTCTTCATCAATGCATCATCTTCTAACTTGTACACCATAACTAAACACAAGTAAACCAATTATCAAATGCAATACTTCTTTTTTCTTAAATACATCTTTAATATTCATAATAAAATAAGCACACACACTCATAGATCAATGAAAGTTCTTGTGTACTTCCAATGGGAAATAAATTTGATTTAATATTTTGTACGGGAAAAATAAATTGGGATTATCTGGAAACCTAACTGACATAATGTACATTGTAATTTTGGTACGGCATCCTTTCATAGATAAAATGGTAGATAAACGAAGAAACATAAGCAAACATAAGTATTATATGTTTAAACCTATTAATTTAATTTGCATACACATGACATTTATAAATTTTCTTTTTTTTTTTTTTTTTTAATTTAATTATAATACGATCATTTTATTATTAATGACATTTGTATGAACTGACATGCACTTTGATGTTCTCCATGAATAATTTCAACTTAAGTCATACTAGAAAGATACTATATTCTAAATACTACTGGAATATTTCAATGAATTTAATTTTTTAAAGTAGTACTTCCATAATTATAATCGTAATTATGAAAAAAAAGTACTTTTCTTTAATTATATAAGTATAATTTATACTAAAATAATTTCTTTTCCAATTCTGTTAAACAATTTAATTAAATTTATTCAATCAAATAATTATAAAAAATAAAAAGTTATATCCAGTAAGCTATCCTATATCAATGTCACATGGCATAGAAAGACCATATATATATATAAAATGAACGATTATAAAAAATGATAATCTCACCAGTAATTTCTCCGCCACCTAGATCATTAAGAATTTTTCTGTATGATGGACGTCTGGTGAGAATATTACTTCTTGTTTTCGGAGATTCTTCATCCGAGAAACTGTCATCGCTTCCTGTCTCAACAACCTTAAACATAAAGACTTTATGTACTTCAAATGGTAATATTCAAATGATTTATATGATATTGTTTCATGATAAGTTTTTAAATATATATATATATATAATATGTTTAGCAACATTATAAAGTACCTGAAGCGTTTGTAAACTGCCTTGAGCAGTTTGTATGACTGAATTTGGTTTACTAACAAGAATAACATTTCCTTTGGAGAGAGCAACAGGTTGAATATTTGTTGCTGTCTGAATTACAGACTGCTGGTTAGGTTGTATAACAGATTGAACCTGTAAAATGTATTATGATCTGATAAATAATACAATTCTCTATTCAATTATATATAACAGAAACAATTTACATGCTTCAACATTAGTAAACTTTTTCCAAATATTTTCATAACAGTATAAATATATTTATTTTAAAAATTAATATCATTTTATAAAATAAAAGCAAAGCTTTTAATTATTTTTATTTTTATAAAATTAAACATAAAAAAATGTATAAGATTATATATTATTTATGTAAAAAATTATTGGAGATATATTTCTTATAACTTGTAAATTAATTTTGTTATGAAAACCAGCATTATGCAATACTAAATAAAAAATGTTTACATGACAAATTTAAGAAAAGTACAACTATTTGTAGAAAACAAATACATAACACATGCATTTTTGAAACGAAAAATGAAATAAATTAACAGACATAGATACACAGGAGCTCCTCCTGTATACCTGTGTTGCTCCTGATGAAGGTAGTGTCAGTTGCACAATGCTGGTAGAAGCTACCAGATGATGAGTTTGCTGTTGAGGCGTTCTATTGAGAGACTGTACCGATGTTGCAATTGCCGGTGCTGCATCACCACTTTGAGAACCCTGTGATAATGGGTCAACGGCCGATCCATTTTCCTCGACCATACTTTCCATAGCCTGGGTACCTGAAGCCCTATAATAGCAATTATTATAAAATGAGACACTATTTTTTACTATTTGTTATATTATATATACACACAAATTGGACTAAGCACTATTAAAATCGATCAAACCCTCATAATTAATAAAATTTTACTAATATACACGTACTTTGATATAAAGTATACATAAGTACATATTCAACTTATTTCACAGAAAAAATATATAAAGAAATCCGGTACATAATAATATAGTAAAGTATTCTAATAATAATAAAGTGTTTAAGGAAATATCTAAGTAGTAAAACATCAACACATCAATAATTTATTTGCTAGTTTCATTATATTGCGTAATATCATAAATATTAATTATTAAAAAGATCGATTATTTAATTGAATTGTTTCATTTCCAACTTCGGTAAATAAGATCAGAAGTATTGTTAAACGAAACAAAACAGAAGAAAACTGTCAAATTTATCGAAGGATAGAAGTAGCGTAGAGTAACAAGGCGAATTTTAAAAGTTCCCGCCAATGAGAGCGAACTGACTATGCTACTGCGTCATTTACATAAGCAGATCTAAAAATAATATCAGAACAATAAACACTTAAGGTGCTTTGGCGGCAGATGTATGAAAGTTGCAGAACCGCCATTCATCAATGTGTACATAGTTTTGATCGCAATCAGTCAAGTCCTTGAGGATGACGAGTTAAAATATGTTGAAAACAACACGGTAACCCTACATCATTCTTTAACGAAGAAATTCGTATCGTCCTTTCTTAAGACGCCATATTTCGCAGCATATTCCATAGTAGCAGACATAAAACTTCCCATGCGTTGAGACTCTCACGAGTAAAAACGTTTAACGATTACTATTGAGAGTATTTCGGGTGTACCGTTAGCGCAGTGGTCCATGTCCGCTTGTTATTATTCTCCAGCTGGGTACTTACCAGTTACGTATTTCTCGTCACCAACTTTGCTGCAATCGGAGTGGGCAAGCAGGCAGGTACGTAGCAGCCACGTCAAAACTCCAGTGGCTTCGTCACTGGTGGAACCCGAGCTGCGCCGTGCGCGTCACCATCAAAATGGCGACCATCCACGTCCCTCGCCATCGTTGTCCCCACCATTACCGCTGCCGCTGCCACCGCCGCAGCCACCGCCACCGCCACCGCCACCGCCGCCGCCACCACCACCGCTACTATCACCGCAACTTCCACCGTCGTCTCTTTGTAAAAGCACTAAGAGGCGCGGCAGATAATTTTACGCTTTTTTTCGAATCTTCTACTTCTTGCAACGTGACTATCACACTTTGTACCTTCGATACCTTTTCATTCCTTCTCGAGCTCTCTTTTTTCTATTTCCTTCTTGAGACTTCAATTGTTTTATTTTTTTTTTTTTCCTTAGTAAACTCGTGCAACATTTCTTACGTCACAAGATTGCTTAGAATAAATACACTTCCTGACATAAATGATACACGATCATCGAGCAATGGAATCATTTAATATATTCATTCGTTGATTTAATAGATTTTACAATTATCATATATTTTCACATATCCAAAACATTATAAATTCATTCAACCGAATGGACTTTGAACATAATCCATGTGTAACGATATATTCTCTTGTAATGTAGGAAGGCAGATCACCGCTGACGTGTCAGTGACGTCATTCTATGACGTCACCGCTACATTTAGTACATTAGTATTTTAAGATATTTTTTTTTTAGTAATAGATTTAAATATTCTCAATTACGTTATATTAAACTATAATAATATGATAAATAATTAGAAGAAATTTAATGCCCGTATAATATTATTTAAGATAAAAATAGCTAATTATGTTGTGTGATTGCATATATTAATATTCCAATATCGTTGGATCAATGTTTCAAATGTCGAATGTCACAGATACTTTAAATATTTTTCGCTCGACAAAACGTGAATTCTTCGCAGTATAAAATAACTATCAGTTTGTTAATATAGGAATAGTACAAATTGATACGTTAATATCACATGCATCTTTCTCAAGGTTACTGATAAATTATCATGCGATATAGTAACATCTGAAAGTAATATGCGAACGAAGTTATTTCTTTCTTCTTTCTTTTTTCGATTGTTATTTTCACACTAAATCGTAAATGTACGTAAATTCATTAGCGCGAAAGGACATTTAATTATATAAAATTAAAACTTATTTTATAATACCTTCTTTAATTCTTTTATTTCAACGGAACATTTTATCTACTATCGGAAAAGTGTTTTCATAATTAGTTTGAAAGATTCACCGCTAGATGTACGATGCATATAAGGCTATGCTTTTGATACTTTTTAATATTTGGGTGCATGCACATGGTAATTTTTGCAGTTTTGTTGCATTGTGAAAGAAAAAAATCATAATCAAACTTATGAAAAAATAAGTATCAAACTTAACATTAAAAGAAGAAACTTAAATTCTTTCAAAAATTTATATATAATAGATGTGTATATATATATATTTTTTTTTGTATATAGGTGTGTACAGCGTTTGAGAAAATACGCATCAAAAAACAAAGTTTTTTACGAACTCTTTTCATCGTAGTTCATTCGTATGTATGTGTGCATCGTCTGTGTGTAAGAAAATGAAAGAATTTGTTGTTGTTTACATTGCATTGAAAGCGAGTATTTTCCAAGAAATTATATAAGTCAGTGCGATAATATTTCTTCTATATAGATCAATAGTGTCCAAATATATATAAGTTAAAACATTCTTTTCTCTCGTCATATTTCAAGCGATTTCTTCTTCGTTTCAAACTTTCCTTCAAGAAATCGTTAGAATATTTTCAGTTACTGTTGAGTCCATAATATTCCAAATATAAATTGATTATTAATTAATACTTATAGAGATCAATTTGTCGATGAGCTTAATAAAACATTATTCCTTTTGGACATTTTGACAAGAGAGTTGTATTATAAATAGAGATACATTTTTTTACTATTCGATTTATTTATTAGTTATTTTTTTGACTCGCGAAGTAGAACGCGGGAACCCACGTACATATATATAGCTGATCAATAAAATGTTTCATAATTTTTCTGCTCTTAGATTTTATATTTTACGTTACTTTATAATAAAAAGTAAAGAAATTAATTTATTTATTACTATCCAGTATATCCTAGATATACATTATTACATAACTCTTAAGATGCGATCGATATAGAATAATTTTCTTTTAACGTGCGTCGATTGTTTAATGTCAACAGAAAGATCATTGAAAGGACCGTAAGAGTTATTACGTTAGTTTCATTTCGTACTCCGAGTAGTAAACGTTGGAACGCTTTGTTTCCGTACCACTACATTTAATCATCTTATAGATACGAACATTTTATAATTATTTAAATAATGTACAATGCACTCAGAGTATAGCTGTATATTACAATATATTTTCAAAATTTCTTTAACCTAATTCTGATTAAACATTAAAGGACATTACATTGTTAATAATACTTTCAAAAATAAATAGATTGGATATAGCAAAATTCTATCGGCAAATATAAAGTATTTAAATTTATGACTAAAATCAAGATTTTATCAATTATTTGGTTTTAAATAATGGTTTGTGAATATATATTTTTTATGCTATTCTTTTTTTTTTATAGCATTATATCTGAACTTTGCATTGCAATGAATTCATATATCAGAAATATATTGTTATTTAACATTATGTATGTTACTTTCCGGAACACATTTAAAGCATCTAGATTATTGATTATTAAGCATCAGAAGATCTTATATGTCGATTCCTGTATTACTATTTACTATAAAAAATCCGTTATATTCTCGCTATTCGACCAATAGATAAAAGGAATGAGGGCGCTGCAGATACTCGTTTATAACAATTATTTTTTTAGTCATTCTTATTATATAGATTTTATTTTTTGAAGGATGTTCTTATTCAAATTGTTTAACTAATATAATTTGTATAAATCTTCGTAATTTTCATAGCGAATTATTCTTTGTAGGAAATGTATAAAGATCCTAGATGCACAAAATATAGAAAACCTCGTTCGTTCCATGGAACGAAATTTGGTAAATATATTAACGTAGCAATTGGTATTTCGTGTGCAATTGTTTACGCATTTTCATATGGTTTGTCGTGAGTATTATATTATATTAGATTAAAATTCAGTTCTTATTTACATAAAGAGAATAAAGTTCAATTTTATCCGCTCGATTCATTAAAGATTTCAATGGCACTTAAAACATAACCTGTACTTACATTCAATGTTATATATATAATTGATGTTTAGATTTGTAGATTGATAATAAATAATAATAGATAAAACATTATTTCTAGTCGTATCCAAGTTTTACGAGAAAATATAGATAAATTAAGATATGACTTAAATGCCAATATCATCGGCAATGACATAATAGAATGGAATTTGGAACAAAAATTACTTGAAAGATTAAGAATTAAAGAAGAAGCAGAAAAAGCTAAATATGTAAATATTTTCACATTACATTAATAAGATTTATTTATATTATATTTTATATAATAAATTAATTAAACATATTTAACACAACAGGAGAATAAAGAGGTACATACTTGAAGGCAGCTTAATATAGTCATAATAGTGTGTAGTATGTAATATAACCAATAATGTTAAAATAAATATATATAATATAAATAATGAATTATTAAATTTATTATATTTTAGAAATTATGTGATAATTACTTCTTAATACTAAAAAAAATATTTTGTATTAAGATGATATAACTAAAATAATACATACAATATTAATTATATTTATATATTTTGTCTCTTAGTAAGAAAGAACAAATTTAAAATCTACTATCATAATCTTTAAAATTTATCAAAAAAATTGATTATGTATTATTTATTTAAAAATATAATTTAGATAAGATAATAAAAATATGAATATATTTGGATGATTATTTTATTTGTTGTGCTTCTCTTATTAATTTTCACTTATAGATATAATAATTGAATCTTTTGGAAAGAAATATAATATGGACATGGAAAAATGTAATAAAAATGTACAAAAAATCGATAGTGAAGTTGGTACATCTGTATCATTGGATTCAGATGCAAGTATAGCAGATTTTAAATCTCCAAAAATAAAACCAATTGAAAAATTAAAACTATTTAACTTCAAATTAACGAAGAAGAAAGAAACAAGCATAAAAACTGAGTTAAGTAAAGGCTTAAATAAGAAAGCAAGTAATCAGTTAAAAAAAAATATTTCTGATGTTCATACACGAACAGAATCAAATATATGCGAGGAAAAAAATGAATCTGTAAAACATTCAAATGATACAAAGGTAGCATATGTATGTCCATTATGTTTTAAGAATTTTAAAGATACAAATAGTAGGATACTTCATATGAAAAATTGTGCTGCAAAAAATAATGTTTCTATGGAAAAACTATTACAAGCTATGGAGTTACAAGAACGTCAATCTGCAGAAAGAGTTTCTCTTGGATTACTTGCTGCACCTGTGTTACAGAATAAAAAGCAAACTACTATAAATAAAATGGTATGTTGGGAATAAAAGATTAGTAATATTTATAACATGAATATTATAAAAATTACATTTCTATAGTTTCTCGCAAAAGATCATCAACTGCAACTTGCTCTTGCACTTTCTAAATCCCTCTATGAAGCTGAAGAAGTAGGGAATTACAATGAAATAGAGGATTTAGCAGATATATGTCCTACAAAGGATTCTACTAAGGAACTTATAGACAAAAATTTAATGGGAAACATTACCACTCGATTTCAAAAGAAAAGTATGATAAAATAATTTACGATACATAACATTTATTTAATAATATACAAGTAAAAGATAGTGTGCTTAAGTAACTTGTACTTGTATAATATAATATTAAATATTAAAAAATAAAAAATATAAATATGAATATGCTATTAGTAAATATATCTTATATTTACTAATAGCATGTTCATATTATAAAATAATATTAAACGTAATATTTTGTTTTAAATAGAAAAGCAAACTTTTATAACAGTATTACAAACTCGTTCAAAAGAAGAAAGAGACCGTTTAATAACTGAAAAAATAGCTGAAATTTTAATAGATAGTGAAACACTTCATCAGAGCCAACAACAAATGCAAAGTAAATTTGAAAATATAAAAAGGAATAATTTGAGAAGTCATATCCTTAAAAAATATTTAAATTTTGTAAGTATATTTTTAGGATCATAGTAATAAACATTTTTAAAGAAATTTTATATTTTTTCTTCATTGTATTACACACAGGATAATAAATTATGGAATTCAGCGATGTTACAGCTAAGTCAAAAAGATTTTTATGTCATAAATTTATCACCATATATAATCCCAAGTACAAAACAAACGTTTATGGTATTTATGTGCATAATTGTTTTATGCTTTACATATATGCAATACAGCATATATAGTAATAAGCAAAATGACATGTAATTTAGTAAACTAATCCTTCCATTTTCTCAACAAAAATCAAGTCGTTTAGTTGAATCTTGAAAAAGTTATTTTTTTATAAACAATATGTATTCAGTTTTGCTTATTACTATATACATATTAAATAGAATTATTAATTATATTAGAAAAAATATTTTCATACAGTATTTGAATAATTTTTAGGAAAGTGAAAGTGAATCAAATATGTCAAATAAGTCTGAACAAAAAGTTTCATCGCCAACAAAATCTAATTTACATTCGAATAAAAAAGAAAGTTCAAATATATCA